CTAAAAAAGTTTTCAATTAAAAAAAAAAAAACTGAAATTAAGGAAAGGTTAAGATAAATAAACTCTGGTCACTTTTCATAGCAATATACTATGAATTGTTTATTAGATTTCATTATCTTTGGGATTCCTAGACACTTCTTTGTTTCTTATTATTACGCCGAGTTAAAATCGCTCCGTACTACTTCCCGATGGGATTTCCTGGGATTTCCCTCGTAGTTTTTTTCCTTTTCAAAATCCTCAAAAAAACAGAAAACCTCCATTAGTCTTAGAACTCTTCACTCTAACATTCATTTTTCGTTCTTTGAATTCTCGATTTAAACCAATAGATTTATATAATCTTACCCATAGAACCGCTTCTGTAAATAAATTTTTCCTCATTCCTTCAACCTCCTTTTGTAATTCATTCATTCAAATCTATATTAGTCCTCATCCACATATTTAATTTTCAAGATATCACATCGATTTAAGAACCATTTATTTCTGCAATAATAATTACATCCAACAGATAATCGACAGGAACCATTTTGGAAATATTTTAGGAGGCTAATGAACATGATTTTCGATACATTAAATCATGTAACGATTTTTTCCACTAGGAGTTAATCCGTCCGGTGCTGCTCTCTGTAGGCAAAATTAAAGTCTGGATTTGGAAGCTTATGATAAGCCAGTGTAAGTCTGCAACTCACCAATTAAGAACTCTGTACTTAACCTTGTATAATAAATGTATTAATTTTAGTTGGCAAAGAATTCGCCATTATTTGATTTTATTTATATATTTTTTTGTTGGTCTCAGCGGGAAATTATTTTTATTTTTATTGTTAAATATTAAGAAAAAATTTTAAATTAATTACTTTATAATACTTTTTTAGTTGGTAATATATGTTCACTTATAAGAAGTAAATATAATTGTTGCTGTTGATTTCTATGAAAAATCTGAACTACCTGGACCTAAGCCTGAATCATGTCACAATCATCAGCGTTAAATCATTAAAAAATTTCTCTCTTTAAAATGACAAAATTCTTTTAACTCACTTAAATTAACAGACTAATTCTTCTAAGTGTTTAAAATATAAAATGGTTTGAATCATTTTAGAGCACTTGTATTTTTTTTTTATCAATAAATAAGTTGGAAAGTAATTAAAAAAATTCTTGAAAGTTTAGCTAGATCAAAAATTGTTATTGAGGCTTGATGTCACAGGAGTGAAATCTAAATTCAATAAAAAAAAATACGTCCTATACAGTTTTTTTTTAAATTACACAGGAGGACATCTCTTATATTGAATTTTAATCAAAAATGTTTTTTTGCAACACAACGACCATACATCATATTCAAATTTATCTACAGTTTTGATATCTAGTCACTATTTCTTAAAAATTATTCAGAACATCTCGAGATATAGGTTTACTCATTATTTTCAACTTTTCAAAAAAAAAAAAAAGAAATGTGTAATATTAAATATTGAAGAGTGTCTAATCCTAAGGCAAAGATAATAATGTTCTTAAGATAACAACTACTTATACGTAACAATGGAGAATATGGGTACTAAACCGTCCCATCAAAATATTTTGCGTAAAAAACTTGATCTTGAAATTGTATAGTTTATAGTCATTATGTAATTTATAATATCAAGATAAAGGCGGGGGGAGGGTATATCTTAACTTTTGAGTATCTTATTTCCAAAGTGAAAACTAATATATTTTTGTGAAAATTGAAATAAAAATCTATTCATGCTTAAAAATACCCAATGAATAAAAAAAATATTAATGAAACTTTTATTTCTATTTATAATTATTCTTAAAAAAAAATCTTGAACAAGCTGGCATTGGCGCTGATTTAGTGGGAGTGGTTAAAAAAATATATACAGAGAATAAATGCAAAGTAATACTTAGCTCCTTCACATCAGAAGAGTTTGTAAATAGTAAAGGCCTTCTTCAGAGATGAAGGGGATTGAGAAATTGGCAACAAAAATGTAGCAAAATGGGCATGCCTATGAATGACAAACATTTAAGTCACCTAATATTCACTGATGACCAAGTGATAATAGTGCAGGATTAATTTGATACTAGGTATATGTTTAGAAAATATGAACAATAGGGCCTGAATATTAATTATGATAAAACAAAATATATGTCGACAGAGAACGATGAGTTATGTGGCCCAGTTCTGACAAAGCTTTTAGGTTACTTTTAGGGTTCTGAGAAAGCAATGGAAGAATATTGAAAAAAGAGTGATCAACAGGCGGAAAACGATTGGTATGTTCAATTCAGTTCTCTGGAGCAAAAATATTTATACTAAAGTAAATAATTTAATATATAAGATTCTTATAGAGACTTTAATGCTCTACAGTTATGAAACGTGGTTGTTAGAGAAATCATGGAGCAAAGGATTTCTAACCGTAGAGATGGATTTTTTGAGGAGGTCGGTTAGCGTCTCTAAGATGGAAAGAATCAGAAATGAGACCATTAGAGAAAGAATCTAAGTTAAGAATAATAAACAAGAGATAATGGAAGAAAGAAAATTAAAGTAGTATAGACATAGGAAAAGGATGAATAGCAAATGACTTCCAAAATGGCATTTGAGTGGGAAGCGGAGGGTAGAAGGAGAGGAAGACCTCATGTGAGGTGGAGTGGCGTTGTGACTGAGAGTATGGCAGGCTGATGGATGTCCAAGGAGGAAGCGATGGTCAGAGAGAAATGGAGGTACCGACTGAGGGAAACTTCAATTTATTAAGAAAATACCCTTTAAAAATAATTAAAAGCTGTTTTAACTGCTTGATTGTATTGATAATTAATACTAAATTTACTTTATTTTACCATTATTGCAAACAAAAAGTTTTTATAGTACAGTTTTTATAAATTTTTCCTCCGAATCATACACTATTGGTTCTCTCTATAACATACACTAATCAACCTTTTTTTTGTTCTTTATTTCTAAAATGGACCCTCTTCAAGTTTCAGTGTTTTTTAATTACTGCCTGAATAATCAGTGATTTTCAGAAATATATTCTAAAATAACGAACACATTTTTTAATTTTTTTTTTTTAAATATTGGTTTTAATCTTAAAATTAAAATAGAAAATATTGTTTATTGCATTTTCTGTAAAATTTTTAATATTAATTTGGGTTCATTTTGGAAATAAATGACTCATTTATTAGATATACTCTTAATTTTTTTTTTCTGAAAACATTTAGGTTAAAAATAGTTTGTCAGTATTTACATGGTATGCAACAGTGAGTATTTGTTAATAGACAATAAATAATAACAGTAAATAAATAGATACATTATCATGAGAATGTGACATCTGAATTGAAATGTGAAGCCAACCTTGTGAATCGGTAAAACAAATGTTTTGTTTTAAAAGATAAGGTGTGTGACACTTGTTAATTTTAAACTGATTTTATCATTTGGTTATTTTTAAAACTATTTTCTATAAAATATTTTGTTAACTTACAATTTTTAGTAAATAAAAAAAATAAATTTGAACAAACTTTTCTTAATTTTTTTTTATTTTTGATGTGAGATGTACTGACTCTGATTAGTATTTAAATATCTTTACTCTTATTCTGCATTTAAAGCTTTAAGTTTTATTATTTTTTTCAAAACATCATTTCTTGAGCCTGAGGCAGTTAAGCAAATAAAATAAAACAAAAAAAAAAAAAAAAAAAAATTTGTTGTTTTGTGCTAAAATTTTGATCAATAGAGAAAGAAACATGATTTGTTGTGAGATGCCCAACTACTATTAATTTTATTCTATACAGCACATTGTTGCTATACATAATTTATCCAGGACTCTCAGATCCTGGTATAGATTCAAAGTATAATGATAAATAAAATATATTTTAATTAAAAAAAAGAAATTGACTTCACAAATAACTCTATCCATATTAAGAGATGGAAAATGATGTATATCTAAATAAAAATATAAATGGGTTGTTAGTCAGTGTATGAAAATTGAAACTTGGCGTAGTATTCAAAGTGTCTTCTACACCTGAAAGAAACTCTAAACTCTTCTGACAATACATTAACTTACCTTCTGTGTGCTTAAACAACATATAATTGCAGGAGCTTTATGAATATTGTTATGTATATATATATGGAATGGAAAGAGCTATAATGTGTCATGGAAGACATTTTTCATGGTGGATATTTTTATGTAGATATAAATCATTTTACATCCATTAAGTTATTTGCATATTCGGTTTTTCTTCTCTTATAATATAAAAAAATTTTTAGTGACTTTGATATTTTATTTTATTTTAGTATTAGTAGGATATAACAGGAGCTCAACTTTTCAAATTATACAGATGTTCATATAATTACATATAAATTGAGCTCCTGTCACCTCCTACTCTCCTAATACAAAATAAAACTTTTAGACTAAAAAATTGTACAGGTGGTATTCATTTGGAGGTGGTAGTTTGATTTTACCTAGATGACAGCAGTTATTTTTCAATTGAGATACTTTAACTATATTAAAGCATTTGTTCAGTATTTTGTGCTCAAATTGTTTCAAAACAATTAGAGGATCTCACTGATTGTGTGTATGTAAAGCTGTCAAAGTTAAATATCAGTCAAGCCAAATGCTCAAAATATCGTAACATATCATTAACGGATTGGTTAAACACACTTTACACTGTTATTCATCATAAATTTGGGCTTGAATTGTTTCAAAACACTCAAGGGATCTCACTGAATAATTTATGGTATATAACATGAAAATTGCTTATGTTGTTCACTTAAAACATCGTTTGAAATCTTTAAGTAAGTTAATTAAACACTTTTACTCAATCACGGGTCGGTGATTTGTGAACAAATTGTTTAAAAACACTCATGGGATTTCTATAATTATTTTTAACCATCAAACTTAAAAAATCGATCCAGCCGTTTGTTCAAAAAATTGTTACATACTTGAGACTTTATTTTTTTTAACCTTGCAATAATATCCTATTTTATTTTACATTTACTATTCTTTTTTCACTTTCCTAGTTGTTTCATTACTCTTAATGATGATAATTTGTAACACATAATGAAATTGTCAAAATAGTATATATTTTAAGAACAAAATAAAAATATACTCATTGATATTATAAAAGATAAAAACAAAACACATTTTGTCATGAAACTAATTTAAAATTATACAATAAAATAAACTTTATGTAATTCAACCATCAAATAAAATCTAATGACTATGAAATAATTTTTACCATTCAAATAATTTAATTTTTGACAAAAAAACAAATCATTGAGAGCTCTCGAATTGTTCTTTATCTTCTCTTAGTTATCTACTTTTTATTTCATATTGTTGTCCTTCATTTGGTATAATCTCTTTCATTTTCTGCCTTTAGTGGATTCAAATCTCTGACAAAACTATAATCAGTGATTAGCTATGAAATAACTAAATAAAAATAACGATCATATTTAATAACCATAATTTGAATTATTTATATTTAAATACAATTAAAATTTATTGATATTAAGCGTACAGGATATTGCTGGTTATAAATGATATATTCTTTAATATTTAAGGACCAGATCTTCATTACTTTAGATTATTCATTGATCTTTTCAGTTTTAGTTCTATCTTCTTTCTTATAAGAGTCAAATGAATTTCATAATATTATTTTTCTCAGTTTTACAGTCCAGAAATGATACTTACTCCAATAAATGCTAGGATAGACTTATCCTAGTTTATAGCACATAGAGCTCTATATATATTGGTTGTTTAATATAAAAAATTATAAGAAGCACTATGGATGTTTTCGTAAATTATATACATATACAAAACCATTCTTTCATGATAAAAAGTGAACAATATAAATCTATATTAAATATAAATTATACCATAATACTTATAATAATAGTCCATGGTACAGACCCCTTTTTATCAAATTATTAACTTCCGCCTCAAACTTTGTAAATAGCTTCATCTCATCGTAACCTGCAAATATTTTATTTACGAAAATTCCCGGAATTGAGGTGTTTTCAATCTGGAGATCGGCAAACTTTGCCTTTTTAATTAGGTACTAAAAACTTGTAAATATCCAATTGCTTTCCTATTGGATTGTAAGATAATTTTATCACAAAATCTATAAAAAAGATGGCCAAAAAAATATTGGGCCATTTGGCTTATATAACTTTGTTACTTTGACAATTTGGGGGTGTAGATCACACCAAATGGCTCAATATTTTTGAAGACCACCTTTTTTCCCAACTTTGTGCTCAAGTTATTTTACAATTCAAATGGAAAGCAAATGGGTATTTACGAGTTTTTTGTACCTAATTAAACAGGCAAAATATGGCGACCTCTAGATTGAAAATGCCGCAATTCTGAGAATTTTTGTAAATAAAATATTTGTACGTTACAATGAGATGAAGATATTTATGAAGTGTCAGGCGGATGTTAATGATTTGATTAAAAGGGGTTTGTGTCATGGACTATAAGTTACTATATCTGTGAAATTATCTCAATGGTACAGTATTTCAGACATAAAAATTTGAAAATTGATATCATAATAATTTATTCATAAATAGTATTCTTATACTGTTTAATGATTTATTACTAAATAAATACACTTACAAGTTTACAAAACAAAGATTCAGAATTTAAGCTTTATAATTAAAACTTAAAATGACCATTAAATTTCAATAAATAAATAATCTTGAATCTAAAACGGATTCAATTTTTTCATAAAAATAATACCTATAGAACAGGTACTAACAATTTGATAGATTACATTAATTTTTTTAAACTAAAAATTAATTGCACCATAATTAACAATATAACTGACGACATCAATTTTGAAGATTTTGAGCTATGGTACTCAGCGGGAACTGGCTTTGGAGAGTATTTGCCGATACGCAAAGCATACTTAATCACTTCAGCCACATATGTCTGTTCATGCATACGATGAAAAAGGTATGCATTTGGACCTGAAAATAAACAATTATTTAATAATAAATTAATTTCTTTTTAAAATATGTTGTAGGGATATTACTATTAGTGTTAATTGAAAATTGATTATTTTTAACATAAGGTTTTAATATTATAATGAATTTATTTATATAAAATATAGAAATATAAGACAAAGGTTCTAAATAGTTTGAATCAATAGTCTAAACCAATGAGATTTAAAGAAATGGTCGAGTCCCTACAAGGAAGTTCTGTTGATTATATAAACCTTTGCAATCTCCAGTAAATTTGTTAGTTCCTTAAGGCTCGGTCACACAGAACGCGATATTTATCGCGGCGATATAGCACCACAGTTGTATTACTATCTATTCTACTATAACAGTCACATAGAGAGCGTTACGCTACAGCGATACATGCTGTAGCGCCGGGGCCGGCGATAAATTGATACAAATTACAAAAATATCGCCCTCCTTCGGCGTTATTCTCTACCTAATGAAGGCAGAAAAGTTAGCTAATACCCAAGTTAATAGGATTATTGCAGGATTATAACGGCGTGTTCACACAGAAGGCGTTATTTATCGCGGCGCTACAGCGCTACAGTTGTATTGCTATCTTTTCCACTATAGCAGTCACATAGAGGGCGTTACACCTCAGCGATACATTCTGTAGCGCCGGGGCCGGCGTTACGTTTGAAAAATATTACAGGTGTATCGCCGGGGCCGGCGTTATGTTTGAAAAATAATATAGATAAAAATTACAGTTGAAATTATTTAGTGGTAGTATTCATATAGATATGTTAAACACCGAATTATTTATATAAAAAGTGAGGAATTTTCCATTTTTATTTGATGTGAGACCTCAAGCAAATATTAAAAAAAATTATTAAAAAGGAGGTTACATGGAAAAAAATTGTGGAAGAGCTAAATATCACAAGTAATGTATTAATTGATATTATTATTATAATTATTGAACATTATAATAATTATATGTTATATACTTTTTTATCTTGAAATCATTTAAAAATTATACTTACGTTCTTTTGCTAATTTTAATTTTGCCTATACTAAAGACATAAATGATAAAAAAAAAAATCTGTGAATATTGCATATTTAAAACGGTTGAGGAACAGATAATAACTATCCAAGATATATATGGCAATAAAAGAAATTCGTTACTACGAAATTAATATTAAATAGATATGTCATTTGAAGTAAATAATAATTTGAAATAAATCAGGTTTTACATAAAAAAAGGAGAACGAAAGTTCATTATTAAAATATCTTCTGGAATATATTAAAAAATTATATATATATATATTGTTTCACACAAGTAGACTTAAATAGTATTTTAAACAATGACATTGGCATGATTCGATGGATTTTAAATACTTTTTTTCAAACTTAGAAAAGTACTTTAAAAGTTTACATTTAGTAAAGGAATTTCGCTTAATTTCATTGGAAACATGTGATTTACGTTAAGTAATGTTAGTTTTCTGAAATTATTATTTCTATTTTTTTTTTTTGTCACTCTGCGTTACCTTCTATTTATTTATTACATTTATTTATTTAATTTTATTTTTTCTGAAATTCTTCGCTTTCTAACGATATATTATACGTATACCTTCTGACTGTTATTTCCGGAGATTCATTTTTAATCAGGATAAGCATTTTTCTTTTTTCTTCAGTTTCCAGTTATCATATTCTTTTGAACATCATATTTACCCATATTCTTTTAAACTTCATATTTAGACATTTTTTATAGTTACTGTCAATATAAGAAAGTTGATTTTTTCAAATAATCCATATTAAAGGTGCTTTAGGGAAAGATGTATATAAATATTGTACATTTAAACTCTGTGAAGTGAGATTAATGGGGAAAAGACCTAAATGATATTAAAGACCACTTAATTATGCAATGATACACCGAGTTTAATCATAATCGTTAGAGCAGTTTTTGGGAAGACTGTAAATATGTGTTTCGCTCTTGATATAAAGTGATACTTCCGATTAGCTGATTTTATATATAAAAACCTTAAATACGCTATTTAAGTTTCGTGCGAGTTTTCGTTTTCGAGCTAGGCTGTTCACTTGCACACAGACACAGACTAACAGACACACAGACCCTTTAGCAGGACTTGGTTATTTGGGCTTAGGGGACCTCAAAACGTGTATTTCCGTTGAAAACTCAGATTCGAAAATTTTAGCGATAGGAATACTTTCCCTTTGTTATATATTACATACATAGGTAAGCAAAAGTCAAAATACCAATATATTTTCTTATAGTTTTGAGGTTAAGCCAATTAATTAACAACTGTTTTGGTGACATTTCAAAATTTAATTTTTCTATTAATAAATATGAGAGGACGATTGGTTTGATTATTTTTGTTGAGATGACTATTGACGTGAACCACTAGTCAAAAATTACGAATCACTCCATTCAACACTAAATAAATGGGGACTTGACAATCTACAATCGAAAAACCAACTATTTTTTAATAATATAATAAAAAAATTAAATTAACAATAAGGCCATAACTTTATAGATAAATAAACTATGTTTCAATTTAATTTGTTTTTATTAAGAAATCGTTTGCTTTATATTTATTAGGTTTTCCAACAATTTTTTGCTAGTGTTTGAGTTTTTGCTTCACGTTTTTCGAATATTTACTGCCGGTTTCTAGCGATGAAGCTTGTTTCTCTTTAACAAAATTGTATTACATTCCAATTCTTAAAAATTGTGCTAATGAACATAAAATTATAAAAAGATATGTTATTTGGTTATTCCTGTATTTCTTGCTTTGAAATATTAAAAAAATTAAATATATATATATATATATATATATATATATATATATATATATATATATATTTTATTTACAGTCTTCCCAAAAACTGCTCTAACGATTATGATTAAACTCGGTGTATCATTGCATAATTAAGTGGTCTTTAATATCATTTAGGTCTTTTCCCCATTAATCTCACTTCACAGAGTTTAAATGTACAATATTTATATACATCTTTCCCTAAAGCACCTTTAATATGGATTATTTGAAAAAATCAACTTTCTTATATTGACAGTAACTATAAAAAATGTCTAAATATGAAGTTTAAAAGAATATGGGTAAATATGATGTTCAAAAGAATATGATAACTGGAAACTGAAGAAAAAAGAAAAATGCTTATCCTGATTAAAAATGAATCTCCGGAAATAACAGTCAGAAGGTATACGTATAATATATCGTTAGAAAGCGAAGAATTTCAGAAAAAATAAAATTAAATAAATAAATGTAATAAATAAATAGAAGGTAACGCAGAGTGACAAAAAAAAAATAGAAATAATAATTTCAGAAAACTAACATTACTTAACGTAAATCACATGTTTCCAATGAAATTAAGCGAAATTCCTTTACTAAATGTAAACTTTTAAAGTACTTTTCTAAGTTTGAAAAAAAGTATTTAAAATCCATCGAATCATGCCAATGTCATTGTTTAAAATACTATTTAAGTCTACTTGTGTGAAACAAGTGAAATATAAAAATATTTCATGTATATATTTATAACCATAAATACTTTTGATGTGGTTCTATAACTCTAGATATGATATTATATTTAAATTATTGGGTATTTATTAGCCCTTTCTTAAAATCGTCAAGTAACCTTTTAGGAAATTAAATGAGTGAATAATTTTATGAATTTTCCCTTTGTGAAGCACCAACATTGTCGACTTCCAATTAGTGTGAAAATTTTCAACCTAACCATGGCAGGCAACGAAAATCTCGTAATTTCATTTTAGTAAATTTTATAATGGAAAATGACAGTTTAATAACTTACAGTCCTACAATCCATAATCATTTATATGTTAAATATTTAGATGTACTTTCAAATCTCTCTAGGCATATATGAACCTTTTGGTTGTCAGAAAAACTAACTTCAATTTCAACATTCTTCATTATTAATTCTAGTGATGTTTCTATTGGCGAACTTTATGCCTTAATTCGCAGTTCTATATGTCAACGTTGAAATCACCTACCCTGGAATCAACTTGCTCACTGTCTGTATAGATACAACTTTTCCAACTAGAAATATCACTAAAATGACATTACTCAAAAATCTTGAAATTATAGTTATTCATTATGTCAACTGAGAGACCTCAGAGACTGAAGTTATGTGGTTTATAAAACTAGATTTTCATTGGCTACCGTCGATATAATAAATAGACTTTTTGTAATTTTACTGGTCTTAAAGATTTATTATCTCTAAGCTTTAAACTTTAGCTCCGTTTAAAATGCACTTCAATTTTTTTTAAATAACCCAACATTGCCACAAAATTATTTCTATTAAAAGTAGTGGGGTAAGTGAAAGTTATGTGTTACCCGCACCAGATTTTTTTTGTTACTTGTTTAACCTGTTTAAAGATTTAATAAATTATTTAGATTTTACTGACCTAAATGAAGTTGGTTGGTGGTTTGTCTCTCTGGATAAAGAACATCCAGGTTATCAATCAATCCCCGATCAATTAAATAACACTACTTTTAAACTAATCAGGTTGTAGTTTCAAAATAAAAAAACGTCTGCCAAGTAAGGTCAGTATAGCTTCCTCACCGTTGTCATTGTATATTACAATGTATACCATTTTTTGTATGAGAATAAAATCTCTGGGAGAAGCCGATTCGGAAATATAGTTACCCTTCAACATTCAACAAAAGAGTGCTGTATTTGAAGATCCCATATTTGATTATCGTTAATAAAAAAAAATAAATAAAATGCACCATGAACATGAATTTCAATACTGTTAGTGTAAAAGGTCTTATGTAATAATTTATTGTTTTACAAGAGTGCATAAAACTCATTATTTCTTTATGCTTTATTAGTATAATTTCATATTTTATTGTCATCTGCTACTATCCATAGTAGCAGACTACTTATATCAGTTGCAGACTACAAAATGTTACCTTTAATACAAATGGAATACAATTTGAAAAATTTTACATACGACTTTTTTGCACTAATTGTAGTAATATACAGTAGCGGACCCAGATTTAATTTTTGGGGGGAGGGCTTCAGCCTGTAAGATTTTGTTTTCATATACACAACGATAATTAATTTGAAAAAAAAACCGCTGCAAATTATTGCACAATTTCCAAACAATTATACATTTAAAGTAACATTACCTTCCTAGTTATTAAGAAAAAAGGTGATTTCAATTATTGGACTAAACTTTTTTTTAATCATTAGTAATATGCTAAAAAAATAATTTAAAACCCAAAACAAAAGATATATATATATATATATATATATATATATATCTTTGCAGTAGAAAAAACTAGAGACCATATTTTTGCTCCTAATTATCCGGTTTTAATGAATTATTTTTTTTAAGGAAATCCCTTAAACCTTTAAAAATCATTATAGCCATTAGGCGAATGGCGGACGGCGGACTGACAAAAAAGTTTTTATTCGTTTTTCGTATTCTATGTATCCTGAAACGTAAAACCTCAAATTTTAAAAGGGGTTTACGTTTTTGAATCTTTTGGTCGATCACAATGGTTCATCATTGAAAATAATAAACCAAAAATATATTAAAATCGCGATATCTCTACTAATAGTGCTTTGATTTCTATGAAACTTCACTCATTTTTTAGGAAATTTAAATACCTTTCAAACATCTTGTCACAACATCGACAAAAATGTGTATACTTTTTGATTTATTCGAAATTTAACTTTACCATCCCCCGTAACTTTCTTCCCAGATTCTTTTCGTTGAAATATGTTGTATAAATAAATTTAAAGGGCGTCTGCAAAATGACTAAAGAATTTTCATTGAAATCGCTAGTTCGTTTAGGCGCTATAGTCTATAGCAACCTAGGTTTTTCGGCCGCCATCTTGAAAGTAAAAGGCGGATGGCAATGTCGGTGAAGGAAGATCATCCTCGGACGACTTTTGATTTTATATCCAAATTTGAAAAAAAATCGGTCCAGTAGTTTCGGAGAATGAGCGGAAGGAGGATGGCGTACGGCGGACGGCGGACGGACAAAAAAATTGAATTCGTTTTTCGAACCTCAAATTTTAAGAGGGTGATAAGTTTTGAATTTTTTGGTCGATCACAATGGTTCATTATTGAAAATAATAAACCAAAAAGACTAAATAAATAATTAAAATAAAATAAATACACTTAAAAATATTAGTAATAAGATAAAATAAATAAACTTTAAAAAAATAATAATAATAAAATAAATAAATGAACTTTAAAAATGAAAAAAATAATAATAATAAAATAAATAAATGATCTTTAAAAATGAAAAAAATAATAATTATAAAATATAAAATAAAAGTTCTGCTAAGGATCATTAGTCATAAACACCATATATTTTTTAAAGATTTTCATCATGTACGAACTTCAGTTAAACCTAAATGAAGTTATAACCTGAATTATGAACATATTATTTTATTGAGCGTTTGAAATTTTAATGCACTTCTTAAAATTAAGTAACATTCTTTCATCACAATTAAAGGGTAACAAAATGATGCAGGCAGGAGAAACGAATATTACTCAGAAAATGAAATGTTTCCGAGTACATGATGTGAAATTTTACCTTTCTAAAAATGGTAAAACTATGTAGAGGTGTAAATTAAGTTAAATTTTCGATATTTGTTTTCCATAAAGTTAACCCGTTTTGTGTTTATCTGCTTTTCTAATATTAATGTTTAAAAAAAAATATTTATTTATGACATATGAGATTATAACTGTTTTTCTACTAAAAGTTACTGGCGATACTTATGTAAAAAGACCCAAATATTTATTATTTAACGATCAAGACAATAGAAATCAACATATATTTAAAATTAGAGTTCCTGATTATTTAAAGCATATGAATAAAATCACGATTGTTAAACCCTCTTGAATAGAATAGAAAAATAACTTTATTGTGGAACGAAGTCCCTTTAGAATAACAAAATAGTACAAAAGAAACAACTTAATTTTGGCCGAAATGCTTGGTATTTAATTTCATTAATTTTTTTATTCTATTTAACTTATTTATTGAAAAATATTACAATCTGTTTCAAAGGACATTTATAATAGTGTTCAGAGATAAATACAATAAATAAAATCAATTATACAGAAAAATAATATATATACAATAAATAAGTCATTAAATCAAATACATTTAATGAAATTAGATTAAAAAACACTGAAAACATGAAATAATCTTGCGATATACAAAACATTTAATCATAATTTCATAATAAAATAATCTATGTTTAAAAAAGAACATAAATGTAAAGAAAGCAAAAATAAAATTCGGAAATATTGAAAAAATCTATCTTCGTAAAATTGAAGCAGACGGCCGAGGCGATGGTATTCTACCAATCAGTCTATATGCTCTTTGATTTCATGAATCCTTTTTCTTTTTTTTTTTTTACCTTATGCTGAAGAGCTGAACTAATGAGCCTCCTCGTCAGAATCACTTATTTTCTATTCAAAAAAATGAATAAGAAAATATCGAAAACAAATTATTAATATACAAGTTGTGGGAAGCAGGATCTCTAGTCGACTAGGCCAGGCAGAGCGACGGGGCTGCTGTATCGCTTTCAAAGTAACGCTCTCTGTGTGACTGCCCCGGATTAGTTATCGCCGTGAGTATCGCGCGTTATTGTAACGTAACGTCGGATCGCGTTCTGTGTGACCGAGCCTTTAGTCAATCTGTAGTACACTGACTGAAAAGTGCTGTAAATAATTGAGTATGAAAACTAGCTATTAGTTCCAGTGTTAGTGGGTTCTTTGTGAAGGTTTATGTCAGTATTAAAGTTACATTATTTTATAAAGTATTAATTATATTTGTATTTCTGAAAAATATAAGGCATTCTATTTGGATTTTATTTAAATTGTAATTCATCAATAACTGTTCAGGAAACATCCCTGTATGTCATGAAATGCATTAATTTAAAATCCATCAAATTCATTTAAAACACTGCAAGTGCTGCTATCTACTTCTACCTTCACTACTTGCAAACTTCCGCCTAATTATGCTAGGGAAATCATATATATCACCATAGATATGGTGATGGAAGTTCGGCTTAATCAGATTCAAGTTTCATTTTTTAACTGTCGCCTTAAGATCATTGAGTAAAAAACCAAGGAATCACTGATCCAAGGAAGAAACAGGAAGAATGGAGAAAAATAGAACAATGAAAACCCTCTTATATTAATAGAATCAACCTATTACATATCAATAGTTTATATTAAGTAATGAATTTCACTTCACCTCTCATGAAAAGAAACATTGAATATGATATTCAAAATTAAACTGACAAATTAACGACATTGTACTCCGAAGTTTGACTTAATCAATTATCATCTATGTTATTAGAAAATACAAAATCTCATTTATTCATACATACACACCATACATAAAAAAAAAAGAAGAAAGGTCTTGGGTTCAGCGCCTTGTAAGGAAGTACCGTTTGTTGGCCAACGGTTGTGCAAGGAGGTGATTTGACTGAGATCATGCTCAACCTTGAGGTTTTTCTCCCTTAATCAATTATTTAACTAAAGGTACCCAGTTTTAAAGGCTGGGTTTGCCCCAGGAGGGTCTCTTGATCCTCTGGTTTATCCACGGCTAATGAAACAGAATAAATAATTTATCTATCACAAACTGGAATTCAAACCTGGAACCTTGATCATTGGCCTTAGTGCCTTACCACTACACTACCCCACTCCCGCAACGCCCATCAACTCATTAAAAAAACAGCTAAGACAATAAAAACTAATTTTCCCTGAGTACTTTGTCTATCAGCATACTGCAATGACACAGAACATTGACAATAATTAATGTATTATTAAATTTAGTTGTTATTATTTTTAATCAAGACTGTCTGAAAGACATAATATGATTATATACGAAAAATTATTTTCATGACAAAGTATTATAACTCATTATAGCAAAAAAATTAAAATGAGTAAACAAATATTAGTGATATATAAAGATAAATTAGAAGAATTACAAAATTGGGAAAAAATGTTATAGTTAGTGAAATTGATAAAACTGTGGGAGAGGAAAATATGTTTTTTACCTGTTGCATATACAAGCACATCACTTCCTCCATGAACATTCACTCGATTTGGCGCTGCACCTTGAGTTCCGTACTCGTATGAGGTTGTATCCACCTTAGAAGGGTCTTCTCTTACAAGGGTACCATTTACCACTCTCATTTTCATATTGTCTTTTGCTGCAATGGCATAACTGAGCGTGGTGAAAGGTAACTTATCAGTTTTAGATATGCCAGCCAGACCTAGACATTTTATTGAATATATTGATTAACTGGTTGATAAAATTAACAAAATTAAAATTAATTCCTGTACATACATCCTGTAAGTGAAATAGAACAGTGATATATTGCCCAAATAGTTTGGCTAATGATCTATTAAACTTATATTAAGCTGATAATCTATTGATTTCCTTATTAAAAGTAAATATAGTGACATTTTTCTTTGTTGTTAAATTGTAAACCATTATCAGAAGAATCAAGAAAGCAATCAGACAAACTACTAACTACTATAGGTACTAATCTATGTTATAGAGACGTGGACTCTAATTAGTTCAGAAGAGAAAGAACGTCTTATCTTCGAAAGAACGATTTTGAGCCATATTTTTAGATCCATTAAGAATGGAGAGAACCAGTGGAGGAGGCACTATAAGAGGGAGATATATAAACTCTTTGGGGAAGCAAACTTTGTTTGCTTTATAAAGTGTGGTTGACTGAGATGGGTAGACCATCTAGCAAGGATGAACAAGGAAGAAATCCCCATGAAACTACTATTGGAGAAACTGAATCAGTCAAGAAGAAGATGAAGGCTAAAGCTGAGATGATAAGACACAATCATGAAGGATGCCGAATGATGTCAAAAGACTCTTTTGAGAGTACAGAATTGGAGAGCGGCTGCACAGGATCGAGCCACCTGGAGAAGGCTCTTTGAGGAGGCCCAGGTTCACATTGAAGAAGAAGAAGAAGGCAGACGAAATAGCCATCAAAAAATTAATGCCATATAAAGCAGCAGGAGCCCACAGTTAGGGGTGCCCAGAAGGGAGTTGCATAGCGCAAGTCATGTCATAAAAGTTTTTGAGGGGTAATGAGCTTATGGAAGGAGCCATATTTTTGTGGAGTTGCATTTAAGGGAGGAGCTCATCAAAACATAAAACAGATCACAAAAAATGTAATTGAAGATGATCTATAATTTTCCTAATTCTACTTTCCTTTGCACTGTTTTTATGGAGAAAAGAACAATCAAATTTACTGAAGCGACTTCGATCTCAGAGAGAGAAGGGGATTGGCATCTCTGCCCACAGTATTCCCAGTTAAGTTGAAAAAAGTACATTATAAAATTATAACATCTTACTGTATGTTTCATTGTATATTCAAGAAATGGATAGATTTTAAGAATTTGGATTACAATATGAATTGAAGAATAATAAAGAGATAATACCACCTTAACTGAACAAATCAGAAAGAAATATGTTCAGTTAAGAATTTACAAAATTCATTAATTGTGGATTGATGCTTGACTATATTGAATGACTGAAGAGAAAATTGGTTGGGATGTTCAGTCAAAAAAATGTAAAAATAAATATATAATATTTATTTTTGCCAACATTTCGGCCCAAAATTCATGCCTTCGTTAGGGCTAAGAAAAATCCAGATAACAATGGCTATGAGAAACTATTAACATTAAAAATAAAATAATAATATATAGGTGAAAGGTATAAGTCTAAAAACATTTAGATAGAATAAACTTAAAGTAAAAAATAAATATGGTAGAATAAACATAAAGGAAATATAAAATAACAATAAGTTAGGAATAGAAAGTAGCGGAAGCAAAGTTAGGATATATAACATAACGGTAAAAAGGTTAGGAACTTATGAAATGAATAATAACGGTAACAATGTTAGGGACTAATGAAATAAGGTAACATAAAAAATGAAAAATGAATTAACAATGGAATATGTCAGATGAAAAACATAGGTGTTAGACATAGAATAAATGGGGTGACGTAGTTGCTAAAATATGATGTCTTAGTATGCAAAAAGGAAGTGAGATTGGCATGGAATAAAAGAGCAATTCATTAATTTCTTCAACCTTATTTCAGGCTTAATGCACATTTATTTATTCACTAAGCATCTTTAATCAAGAGAGAAAAAGTACGGGAGAGTGTATAGGTAGATTGGAAAGGTATTATGGATTCTTAAGAGCTGATTTTTGGGCAATTTAGGAAATATATTAAGAGCATCTAAGTTATTTATTGTCACTATTAAACATAAATTAAATGAAAACTTTTTATAATTAACTAGTTGGCCCGTGCAAATAATTTGAATAATAAAAAATTTTGTTTAGTGAAGAAATAGCAAAATAAAATCGAAATAAGTAGATCCTATGTATTATGTAAGGAAGGAATTAATATCTTTTCCTTGGTCGATTACAATATTCCATTAAACATGATAGATCAAAATATTTGTACAAATTGCTTTGCTAGGACTTATTTCTAAAAGCTGACTGAAAAGATAATAAAAGTAATAAAGACAAAATAATGCCCCAATCATGGGATTTTTTAAATTATTAAAAAAAATAAAATGTAAGAACAATCAAATGTTTTTGAGAAGTAGTAAAGTTAATATATCAGCCAGGAAAAAAATTGTAGCAGACTATTCTACTCCTAAATGCAATATCTTTAAAGAGCAAGCCAATATTAAGTATACCAAAACTAATGGACTGTATCTTTGTTAATAATTGTCCGATTTTTATGTTGTTTTTTTGTTTGGTGGGTAATTTAATAATCTTTCTAAGAAAAAAAATGCATACTTTTTGAGTTATTTGCAAATAAAGTTTCTTTTCCTTCATAACTTTTTTTCCAGAAATTTGGGGAGGATAGGACTATTTTTAGCATGTGAAGGAGAAGATTATATTCAAAATGAGTGGTCAATCATTGGATTTGATGAAGAATTGACAAAGTTATGGCGTACTGACAAAAAAAACCCTTTTAAACATAATATATAGGATTATAAATTACAATGTAAATTAATCCCAACATGTATTATTACAGTATGGCTCGAAATTGGTTTTGTACCAAATATAAGCTCCTGTCATGCTCAAATACCATGAATGGGGTACCGTTGGATTCAGAAGTTCACGGGGGTTTAGCGAATCGTATTCTCCACTTTTGTTTTTCTTTCTAAAATAAATAAAGTCGATACAAACATGTTGCCAGGCTTCAATACCTGAACAGTGGTAGGTCTGTAGATCGATACAGGACAAATTGTACCTTGAAGATTTTGATGAGTACAGCAAGACCCGGATAGGTCCTGAGTTTTTAAGCCCAAAAACGTACTATTTTCGAGATAACGCAAGGCATAGTGTTTGCATCCGCACAGCCTTAATTGTATTACTGTCATTGAATACATGTCTCATTTCGGTGACTTGAGGCCAATATGATCGAGAGAGGAGGAGTTTATATTATTTATCGATGGTGTTTTTGATCGTCAAGCCATATCATCGTTAATTATTCACCAAATATCAAGATTGAGCCACCAATTTCGAATGCTTCCTTCTCCTTCAGGCAGGAAAAATAGTGCAATCACCCCGAAAATTCAGGCAAACAAGTTATGAAAGAAAACAAACTTTATTTGCGAATAACTAAAAAAATACACAATTTTCCCTTAATATAAAAGATTACTAAATTTACAACAAAAGGAAAACAAATCATTGAAATCGGACAATTTTTAGCAAAGATATAGCTTATTGAAATTAATAAACATGTTGGTTCCAAAGATTAATGAAGATTTAAATTAATTGTTGTTTCCTTTGTCGATTATATTTAGCGATAAAGTAACAATTGATTTCTTTACCTTTTGATACATTATTTTCTTTTCTTATTAATTTGGCTTTTGAAAACAATATGCTGTGCCTACTAGTTAATTATAAATTAAGTTTTACTTATAAATTTGGTAATAAAAAAAATCGAAATGTCCTTTATTTCTTAGAAAAAAATCTCTTTTTTATAACAGTTATTGATAAGCAATTTTTTTTTCTTTTTCAAATGCAACAATTTAAAGGAGTGATCACACACACACATAAACATGAACACACACATACACACAGCTGACTACACTTACCAAAAATGCTAGATCCTATGTTAGGGTAACCACTGATGGTGAGAGTGTGAGAATGGTCACTGGTTACGATAACGAGTGTTTCGTCTAAGATACCGGCAGCCTCAAGCAGCTCCATCGTACTTTTTATAGTTTTGCTGAAGTGGACTGTTTCACTGACAGCAATACGAGCTTTACCAATGTGATGGCCTTGGTCAATTAGGCCACCTTCCACCTGAAAAATTGTAAATTATCATCAGACACATAGTAGAAGAAGTGCTAGTGACTTTAGCACCCCTCCCCTCCCTGGAATAAGTTTTAATTTTATTTTTCTTAGTATATTTTAAGAAATCAATATCATATTTGTGCATGAAATATAAATGAATCGATCATGAAGAGTCTAACCTTGTATTGAAAAATAATTGATTTTAATCCTCAAAATTTTTTAATTTAACCCATCTCTGATTCAAATACAAAACAAGTCAGAAAATCAAACTGAGATTAAAGAGGATGTGAAAATAGATATACAAATATCAGGATATTTCTGGAACCGAAATTCATCGACAAGAAGTAAAGACTCAAGAACAAACCAGAAATCAAATATTCCACATATGTTTACAGTGGCTTTAAGAAACGCAGACTAAATTCTTATAGACAAATATTAAAAGAATGGACCCCATCATACCAGAGAAATAGGAAAATATTATAAATAGGAGTTAAGTGATATAACTGACATTATAAAATGTATTAGTGAAATAAAAATTGAACTCAAATTATCAGTGATTACACAAGAAAGTATTCATAATAGGAAAAATTTTAAATCAAAAGTTCATACTTGCAGAACTGTTCCAGAAGAAGTGATGGTTATTAAGAGGGTGAAAGGAAGGCTACAGAATGCTTACGATTACTTTGTGTATTCCTGATTGGGTTTACTCGCTTATATATATGTAATTTTTTTTTTAGGGTGAATGTTTGTACAATTATGGGCCAATTCTAAAGCAAAATCTTGACTACATCCTGGTGTTATTTGTAAATGTTAAAATTTTAAATTGATAACCATCTTAGTAGTTTACTTACCATTAAAAAGAATCCATTTTTATTGTTGTTGAGTACTTTGATAGCTTTTGTAGTCATTTCTTCTAAAGTAGGTACTGATGTGTCAGAATAATTGACTTTGTAAGAGTACGGAAAGTGGTCATTACAGAAAATACCTGTAAAAATAAATAATAATTAATAACTCAAACTGAAAATTTTACTCACTATTTTTATATTTATTAATGTTTTGTTTAAGTGATTCAATAGTAAAACATGAAATCAACTGAGTTTTGGAAATTAGCAACAATATTATGGGTAAAATAATTAATTACGTTAAACAGTAACTGATATTTTTTTATTAATGATTAAGTATATTCAACAGCCAAAAAAAATATTTTTGTTCAATGTTGAATTGAATTATTTAGTTTTACAACTCGTTGCAGCCATGATTCTATTTTATTTTTTCAAGAATCTATTTTATAAATCACAAGTTTCAATGCCAGAAATAATCTTTTAGGAGATTAGATTCAAACTTGTGTAGAGAGTTTGGACAATGAAAAATTAAAGATTTGATCTGTTAAAAACTTACTCTATAAATTTTTAGATTATGGTTATTTTATTTTCCTCCCTACGTTGCCTTTAAGGCAATATGGGAGTTTGCAGCAATGACTTGATACACATTTTTTGCATAACAAATCACTGTTGCAAGTTTATCTTTTTACATAATAAAAGATAAATAGCTGTGCTCACAGCATGCTTGATAATTTTGTCTCTTATTTTATCGTCCTTCATCTTCTTCTCCTGGCCTAATCAGTGGCCTTCCAGGTACTGCTTCTTCACGCCTACCCAGGGAGAAGTGGGTTGGGCCCACAGTTTTTTTCCACCCGCATACAAAACTTTTAAAGTGCGGGTAGTTTTGCTGAGACATCAGTTGGGGTAAGTGTCTTTCTATTAAAACGTAGAGCCCTGTATCCTTCATCAATTGGGCCCTCAATGCCTCATAGCTGGTGCAGGCTACAAGGATGTGCTCAGTGGATTCAGGTACTCCACAAGTGGGGAATAAGGGATCGATGTTTTTACCATGTTTAAAAATTTTTGGTCTGAAACCACCATGCCCCGTGAGGATCTGTGAGACCCAGTAGTCTGGGAGGACCCATTTCTTTTCTAGACGCGATTAAACGGCTATCAGGTAATAACAACCAAAAAAAATTCATATTGAATACTTAATGGTTGACCTTTGTTTATTTTAGAGGACGGAGATGGTCCGGAGAGACAGTCATAAAAAGACTAAAATAGTGGAAAAACTATTTTATTTAAAGCCTATGTTTTGACCCGACTATGCAGGTCTGCAAGCAGTTTCAACTCAAACTCCTTGCTACATACATCCCCCTCAAAAAGGCCTGTAAAGTCAGGTCGAAATGTTGACTTTAAATAAAATAGTCTTTCTACTATTTTAGTATTGTTATTATCTGTTATTTTAGTATTACCTCCATGGATGATCGCCTTTCTCCAAAAACATTTCACTATGGATTTTATTTCCAACTACCCTTCCTTCAAACTCTGATGTAGATTTCATTAATAGTCAACAATATTTTTTTTTTTTTTTCGATCTATCCAGTTATTTAAATATGGAATGCAATACAAATTAAGAATAGCAGATTTTACCCACCTAAGACATAATCGGTCTTGCTTGTGTCCAAGTCTAATAGCTCCTTTCTATTTTTGGGCAGTGCAAATCTTACTCTTTTATCCTCCATTCTTCGAGTCCATTCTGCTATGAGGTTGAGACCATCCACCCTTTTACAGGTTCCTATTCCTTCTGCTATGGGGTCATCAGGAGTCGAAGGAGGATCTGTCATGAGTAGCTGCCTCCCGCCACCCATTACCACCTGGAATTATTTTATTATAATTAGAATAATGAGTTAAATAAACAGTTACATAAATTACTAATGGGAGAACACTTTTTAAATATGAATATATACATGAATGATATATTGCATAATAAATTAGAACTAAAGATAAATAAAAAAATCTATTATTTTTTATAGATTTTGCTAGATATAATTTAAAATATAGAGCTTTTCAAAATTATGATGATTTTAATTATTCACAACCTAATAATTATTTTACATTCAATTTTCAATTAAAATAATTAAATTACAAACCTTTCTAGTAAAATGAATTAAATTTTAATTGGATTATGAGAGAATTCAATATTTTTTTATTTATTCATAGGAAATTAATTTCTGTTTCTGATTATAATTTTACTTTATTAGCTTCACACTTGGAAACCTTAGAGATAAATTAATTGAATATTGTATTTATAATCAAATTCATTACTATGAAATATTATTAACTTTGGTTATTTATAGAATAACCAATAAAAAAAAATTAATCCTTCTATGAATTTATATTTTCTTTTATAGTAGTGTTTCTCTTTTTTTCCCCCCAATTACATATATAATATTTTGATGTAGATACAGATGTATCTATATAAATGAACTGAATAACTCTCAAATTTATTAATAAAATAATCACTCTAAAATGGGTAAAGGAACATTCAGAGGTTGAGGGTAATGAACAGGTTGGTTAAAAGCTAAAGAAGCAACTAAAAGTGATTGGTTGCCTTCTTAGCAAAAAATCTCCTTTATCCTATGTAAGGGTTATCATAGGGGCAGGTTGGCTGAGTAGGCTAATGTTGCCTAGCAACCAAGATCAAAAATAATTAGATACAAATAATTACGAGTTTCCATCCCGGTGCCCAGAGAGGAAGGACGATGGAACTTTTAACTGTGGCATTAATATTAATCCCCTGAGGAAAAATATATATATACAAATCCATACACACACTTGATTCTATACTATTTAAATATTGTATAAATATTTAACGATTATTTTTTTTTTTTAAATAAAATGTTAAGTAGATTTTTTTTAAATATTCAAATTAATTTTCTTTTTCATTTTTATCATGTCAGTTGAATCGATAAATGATCAAATATTATTGAGAATAATGTTTGGAATCATTTTGACACATACATTAAAATTATTTCCGGGCTCATCTTCTACCAGCTGTCTTGCAATATCTTTGCACTTGCTAGCACTGTAGGGCAAACTAGTATCACATTCCCAGTCTCTATGTGATGAGTGCGCATACATTGCGGCTGGTGTAGCATGAGTAACACGAGTTGTAGTAACAATACCTGAAATCATACGTTATGTTTCCTGTTGTAAATGGGTCAATATTATTTTATTAAATGTTTTGTTCATCATAAAATATCTATTTATAGTAGAAATATGCTTAATCAGTACTGACTTAAGGGGCTCTCTGAATAAAATGAAAGTAAAAAGTAAGAGGAAGGAGATGGTCCGGGGTGGCGGTCATAAATAGGCTAAATAGTGGAAAAACTATTTTATTAAAAGCCAACGTTTCGACCCGACTTTGCAGGTCTTCTTCAGGGCTAGAACGGACAAGATACAAAAGATATAGAGAATTGTGGAAGTTACATAATATTTAGACAAAAAATTATAAACAATGTGAATAAGCTTATTAAAATTCTAAACAGTAGGTAGTAATTTTAATAAGCTTATTCACATTGTTTATAATTTTTTGTCTAAATATTATGTAACTTCCACAATTCTCTATCTTTTTGTATCTTGTCCGTTTTAGCCCTGAAGAAGACCTGCAAAGTCGGGTCGAAATTGGCTTTTAATAAAAATAGTTTTACCATTATTTAGCCTATTAATGACCGCCACCCCGGACCATCTCCTTCATTTATAATGGAACGGTCAACTATTAAATATTCAAAAAAAAGTAAGAGATATAAAGTAAATTTTTCACAGCGTTGACTAGTTTAAGCAATTAAGCTATCAGCAAAACTTAGTTATTCAAATTGACATATAAAAGAGAAATTTGTTTTAACTACAATCAATTATGACTTTAAAAAGTTTAGATGTTTATGTAGGGGTGCCCAGAAGGGGTTTCATGGCGCAGGTTGCGCCATCAAAATTTTTGAGGGGGCACATTTTGACGGGTTTTTCAATTTTTGAGGGGGGAAAATTTCCACAGAGTTATGAATTTTCGGACTAAGGGACATGGGGAAAACATGGAACAGACAACAGCAAGTGTAATTGTATATCATCTATGATTTTTTAAAATTTTACCTTAACTTGCTTTGTTTTTAAGAAAAAGTGACTAAAAAAATATCTTGGAAGGAGGGGATAGGTTTTTGCGCCATCGACCTTAGGGAGGATGGGCATCCCTGTGTTTATAAATGTTTAGTAGATAGCTCCCTGTATTTACTTCTTTTTGTGAAATTGTGTGAGGGAATGAGAAGGAATACATAGGAATGTGAGGTTGCATGATGAATTGTACTCAATTATGCAGTGGAAAAATTATTCATTGAAAAGTCTCATATCGATAAACAATCGATGAAGAAGGATGCTGGAAAAATTACGGAGCAGGTAGCAACAGCTGGAGGAGGACGCCAGAGAAGAAAGGAGAAGGCACTTGAGACTGACACGGAGGCGGAACGACATTAGAAGTCTACTACAAGATTTAGAAGATCAAACCTATAGTTATAACACTTTAATAGAGTCAATTTATTACAGTTGTAGGAATAAATTATTTTGTTATACAGGAGTGAAAAGTGATTTATTTATTTAGTAGTCCTATATGCCTCACGATTGAAGAATAACAAACCGGGTGAGTCAATTCATTCAAAGTGTATTTACTAAGTGCCACATTTCATATACATATATTCTTATTGTTTCTTCTCACTCAGTGTCATAAAAGTATTAGGTTCCCGAATTCCCAACAACAGTTAAACACTCTCAAAAAGTCTATATTCAGTGCCAGGATTTTATTTTAATAGTCACGAGTGTAAATAATCTAGTTCCCCGATAAAAAAGCGGAAGGCTATTCGCAATTCCTGCCAAAACATATTATTTACAATTAAACTTTATTAGGTTATTTATAAATGGACCCAGTGATTGAATGATTTATTGAAGGAAGTTAGTCGACTGTTCTACATATCATAAGTGATAAATATTCAGAAGGCAGTCATTTTTAAGGTTTTTTTTGTGCCGACGTCTCAACCCAAATTGTGGGTCATCATGAGCAATCTGTTCTAGCGTTTGAAGTATCTAGCAAGAGAGCAGGATGAATTGAAGAAGAAGATGGTGAATAAGCAGAGTGTGAGCGGTATAGAGCTTCAGATAGGCAAGGGTGAGACGTTCCTTTTGATGTGTGTTATGAGATGGTATTGTCAGAGTACGGAGAGCTCATATCCCTGATGTGAATTTCAGCGGTGACGTGTATTCTTGATATTGATTGATGGCCCCAGTGATTGAATGATTTATTGAAGGAAGTTAGTCGACTGTTCTACATATCATAAGTGATAAATATTCAGAAGGCAGTCATTTTTAAGGTTTTTTTGGTGCCGACGTTTCAACCCAACATGTGGGTCATCATGAGCAATCTGTTCTAGTGTTTGAAGTATCTAGCAAGAGAGCAGGATGAGTTGAAGAAGAAGATGGTGAATAAGCAGAGTGCGAGCTGTGTAGAACTTGAGATAGGCCAAGGTGAGATGTTCCTTTTGATGTGTGTTGTGAGAGGGTATTGTCAGAGTACGGAGAGTTCATATCCCTGATATGAATTTCAGCGTATATTCTTGATATTGATGGATGGTCCCAGGGATCGAATGAATTATTGGAGGAAGTTAGTCGACTGTTCAACAATAGATGATAAATTGTCAAAACGCAGTTATTTTTAAGGTTTTTATTGGTGAAAACATTTCAACCTAAGTATCATCAGGGCTCATCTTCTTCAACTCATCATGCTTTCTCACCAGTTACTTCAAACACTAGAACAGAGCCCTATAGTTTCTTCAGTCTTTAGCTAGAAATAATTAAATATTCCATTGAAAGAATTCTAATAAAAAGAAATTTATGAAGAACTTTAAAGAAAAAGTTTTAATAATCAATAATTAGACATGAATGATTATTTCACAGATATGATAAATGTAAATTTAAATGAAATTTCATTAACAATATTTTAAGTTTTATTTATTTCAAAAGTGACCATTATATTTGTTCCACCTAATATGAAGATAGAACATTGTAATAGATTTTATTAAACTTAACTGATTGTAATATCAAATTAGGGGAATCATATATACCAGTTGCTTTCCCAGCGTCTTGAGCTAGTGTTGCGAGAGTAACAACATGGTTTTCTTTAAGAATACTGCTATCACAGTCAGCTTTCTTCACGGTTGAGTGTACACCTAGTGTGTGAATATTAGTTTTGACTCCAGAAAATAAGGCCGTCGCTGAACAAGCTGAGTCAGGGACTTGCTTGTCATTAGAATAAGTCTGAAACATATATATTTTGTTATTTTGATAACATACATAAATTTATATAATAAACTCTTTAATTTAAAACAATAAAATTTAAATTTACAACATTTTAATTCATTTCAATATTATATTTTCCTATTTATTTCTTATATCATATTTAATTTCTTATAGCAGTATCTTATTTATAATGTCATTTTAACAGAGTTTGAAGGTCTTCAACTATCAAAGACCAAGCCTAAATCCTGAATTTCCTACTATTTTCCTGCAAAAAAAAAATTCTTATTTAGATATCTTATCAAACTTTATTTATTTATTTATTTTTGGCGTATTCTGCCGTTTGCACCGTCGTTAGAGCACACCATAATATATTACCACCAATTTGATATATTACTAGTTAGTTGTGAGTTTTCTTGATTAGTCTCATTTTGTATTTATTGTAGTAGCTCCCTCGGCCATTTTCTATTTAATCTGCATTGATTATTTTGATAAATAAAGTTTGAAATAGAATTAATCTTATACTAAATAGAATCTTTTTAAGCCTATATAGCCTTAAAAAACAAATAAATGAAACAGTTTTAAAATTAAGTTTCAACATGCACTGGGTATAAAGGAAAACTAAAGTTTGAAATGAATTAATATTTATTATTTAAAAACTATCAACTTTTCAACATTCTTACACTTTTATGTACAAATAAACCACTCCTACACAACAAAAACAGATTTGTTGAAAATAATAATACATCAAGTATATCAGTGACAAATCAACTTGGCAATACATAAAAATACAAATACATAACTTAAATATAAAAATTGTAATTATTGATAATTTCTAGCTCCATTTACAAATAATTACTAATATCATTCTACAACAATATTTACAATAAGTTCGAAATCTCTTATTTACAAAATCTACATAAATAAATCTCTTAATTAATAAGAAATCTCTTAATTAAGAAATCTTAAATTCAAATTCAAAGTGATTTAAAAAAAAAGTAATTAAAATGTTTTTATTTAAAAAAAAAATTAAATCAAAATAAAGTTAACTTTTTATCAATCTATTGATGTAAGAATAATGATAGCATTTATTTGAAAGCTTCCAAATTTTTCAAGGTCATTTACTTTTTTTTTTAGTTTACTTTAAAAAAAACCTATCTGAACCTATAGACTAGAACTGTGGGGGACAGCTAAATTTTCTAACATTAAACACATTGAATCCTTCCAGTCTAAAGTCCTTCGAACAATAGTAGATGCTCCCTTCTATGTCACCAACAAAACTCTGCATGACCTTAATATCCCATTTATTCTTGATCTAATCCCAGAAAATTTTTCCTAATTTCGCAAAAATCTTGGTAATTATCCAAATCCTATAGCACGATCCCTTTTTAGCATCAACCATGCCCACAACCCTCCTCGAAGGTTAAAACAGCAGTGGCCTAACGATATTTTGTAAATATGTATGTATTGGAGTTCCATTATCACCTGATTTTCCATTCATCTTGTGTGTCTGTGGCTGTAGCACCCTTACTGAACCTCCATTGGCTTTTAGTAACAATTATTGAGATTAAAGAAGTTGAGAGAGAAACGCTAGTATCTCTTGGAGCCTCGCTTCTCCCTTCACAAGTGGAAGGACAATAATGATTCAGAGTTCTCTTGGTTGATTGTAAATAGTGAAAATAAGTATATGTACATGTTTATTTTACTTTTTAAGTGCATTTTTTTTTCTCTTTATGCTATTTTATTTTGTTCTTATTTGTATATAATATGTTGCTAATACTTAATTACTTAATTTATGTTTTCTGTAAATAAGCACTCTTATCTTTATAAATTCTGTAATTGAGACAGAATATAATATCTCTTAATAAACAAGCTAAAAACAAAGTTAAAACATGTGTAATGTGGGTTGATTTCCTTATCTTAAATGTTACCCAAATAATAGTTATACAATGTATTTATTTTATTTTGTTGATAAAAAAAATATTATTAAGAGAGCAAGGAATCAAAGATGTACAGTGAAGAACTCTATCATATAATAATTAATAATATATGACAATTTTATAACTAATGATCCTTTGCAGATTTATTTATTTTATTGTTTTATTTTAAAAGTTCATCTAGTTATTAATTTCAATTCATTTATTGATTTTATTGCTTTTTTTTAGTTTATTTATATATCTATTCTATCTTATTATTTATAAGTGTCTATTATTATCATTATTTATTTATTTTATTCTATTAATTTTTTTATCTTTTTTTTATGTTTATCCTTTTTTATTTTATGTATCAACGACCTGAACATTATAAAAGTAGTGTTATTTAGTTGATCGGGGGGGGCTGATGACCTGGATATTTAGTGTCTAGACATTGAAACAAACAAACAATATAATCATTTTTTTATTTATATGATATTTACAACTGTATACAAAAAATACATCTGGTAAATTCGCACATGGATATAATGACATGGAACACATGTTGAGAAACTACCCATTGGTAGCACTCTAATAATATTTCTATATTAGAAGATCACGTGGCCATCTTCTTTTCAGACGCCTCGGAGGGTTATCAGAAATCGAATAGGAAGCAAGGTTAGAGACAAGAGGTTTGGGATGGTTATGAAGTTTATTATGGAAGGACAGATATCTGGATCGGGCCAAATCTGATACAACATTGAGGATTTTACGAAGGATTTTGGATTGTAAGGATTGTATGCGAGAGGAATTTGAAGGTTTGGTGGAGCCACATAGCTCAACTCCGTAAATCCAAATAGGCCTTATTATAGTCATGTAAATGAGTCTTTTATAATTGATTGGAAGGTTAAAGCGTTTGTCTAGTAAGTGTTGAAGTAGTCGGAAACATCGAGCTGTTTCTTATCGTTTCAGTCTGGTATGAGGATTCCAAGTTAGACGTTTGTCCAGATGGAGTCCTAGGTATATAATAATTAATCAAACAATTGGTTCGAATACCTTTAATGCGCCGACATGATTAAATCTCTCCCAGGAAAGGTATCCATATTCATGTTTCTTGTAGATCCTTGCGGCTGTGGCAGTATTTGGTCCCATCCCATCACCGATGAAGAGGATGACATTTTTAGCAACCCTTTTGTTAAGTTCTATATTCAAACTTTCTGTCAAGTCTTCTGCAGAAACCTTGTTCCAGTAATGTTCATCTGAAAAAATATAAAACAAGTTAAGATATATATTTAAAATATATACCTAGTTAAGAATAAATAGAACCAGTTGATAAATTAAATAATTTTTTTTATTTAAAATAATATTTATACTATTAGCAAATCTCTCAGTATTCATATCATCTTGTTTTGAAATTTTTACCAATTTCTATTTGTAATTTTCTCTCTTTTTACCTTAGGGAGATCCATGACTTTTTGTGGTGTTTGGTGAACTAAAGATATGTGAGTAGGGCGTTCAATCCTAAATCACACCCTCCAGCAAGTCTGGTGGGCCCCTATTCTATTGACCGCCAGAAACTGTATAATAATTTAATCGAGCAGGGAATTCCAAAAAGCTAGTAAATCTAGTCAGGATGTGCTTGACGGAGACACTCAATAAAGTTAGAATCGGTAATAATTTGTCAGAAAAATTTGAGGTTCGTTCGGGCTTAAAACAGGGGGATTCTCTTTCACCTGTCCTGTTCAATTTGGCATTAGAACATGCCATTAGGGAGGTAATGCGAACTGAGAAAGGGTTGGATCTGGGCGGGACAACATCCGTGCTGGGCTATGCTGATGATCTGGTACTGTTAAGCGAAGACGTTGAAACTATAAAACTAAATACGACAACGTTAACGAAAGCCGGTAAAGAACTAGGACTCGAAATAAACGAGGATAAAACAAAATATATGGTTAGCTGCAAAAATGGCGATACTACTGGTGATATCGATATAGATGGTAATATGTTTGAACAGGTAGATAAATTTAGGTATCTAGGTTCTACGATAACTAGGAAAAACGAAATTGAAGAAGAGATTAAGGTTAGACTGAAGGCGGGGAATGCTTGTTATTTTTCTGTGACAAAACTACTTAGTTCGCGCCTCTTGTCCCGAAACTTAAAAATTAGAATCTATAAAACAATTATCTTGCCTACAGTTCTTTATGGATGCGAAACTTGGCCGCTTACATTAAGGGATGAGCAGCGTCTTAAGGTTTTTGAAAATAAAGTATTGCGTAGAATATTCGGACCGAAGAAGGATGAGTTAACCGGAGAGTTCAGACGGTTACACAACGCCGAATTGCGTGAGCTGTACCCGGGTAATATAATTGAGGTAATTTCATCGCGGCTAATCAAATGGGATGTAAAGTTGTTGGGCTTAGTAACGAGAGAATTCCTAAAAGGTTAATATTTGCTGTGCCGAATGGTAAGCGTCCGAGGGGTAGACCGAAGCGAAGGTGGGAAGATTGCATTAAAGCCGATCTGAAGGGACTGGGTTATGACGGTGAACGGTGGAGGGAGGTGTGTAACAAGCGATTTGTGGTGTCGGCATCGAACCTTCGGGTTCGCTAAGCCTTATTATTATTATTATTATTATTATTATAATTTTCTCTCTAGGCCAGTGTTGGGCATAGTTAACTAATGTTTTTAGTTGTCCACATACATTCCAATTTTTTCAACTATAGTATTTAAAATTGATGGTACCACCTTAGATTGTTTTTTTTACTCCTTCATGTAACTAACAGCTATTACCTTAGTTATAATCTATTAAATAAAGACTAACAAAATATTTTGTTCATACTTCCAAAGCTATTAGTTTTTTTAAATAGTGTATTACCGGTATATTTAGGTATTTATTGTTGATAATTATTATCTTTATGATTATCCATTCTGTCTGATATTCTATTATTTTAAATTTTTTGGAGATTCCTATAACGATTTATTTTAAATTTAGGAATTTTATATTAAGTTCCATTATGGGAGAGGTAATTTTGAAAATACAATAGCTCTTTATATCGCCTATCCTAGTATCGATTAGAGCTATTCAAAATTCTTCTATATTAAAATCCTTTATTATCTTATGGACAGCATAGTTTTTGAAAATACTATCGATTTTATGACCGAATCGCATAATCGCTGAAAATCCCATCAAATAAATTTAGTAGCGTTAAAGTTAATAATTAGGTATTATGTATGGATTGCCGATGGGAGGAATACTTTTTTAATATGAGTATATACACACGAACGATATATTGCTTAGTAAATTAGAACTAAAGATAAATAAAAATAAATAAAAGGACTTTTAATTCTGGCATTAATAATAATCCCCCGCCCTCACCCCCTATATCAAAAAAAGTATGAGTTACTACATGAGGAAAAATATATTTATACAAATCCATACACACACTTGATGGTATACTATTGAAATATTGTATAAATATTTAACGATTTAAAAAAATAAAATAAAATGTTAAGTAGATTTTTTTTAAATATACAAATTAATTTTCTTTTTAATTTTTATCATATCAATTGAATCAACAAATGATCAAATATTATTGAGAATAATGTTTGGAATAATTTTGACACATACATTAAAATTATTTCCGGGCTCATCTTCTACCAGCTGTCTTGCAATATCTTTGCATTTCCTAGCACTGTTGGGCTACCCCCCTTTAAATGAATTTTGCTACATTCATTGGATCTGTAGTTGTGAATTTTTTATTGATTTTTGGTTATATACAATTTAATTGTTGGTTGCTAACCGAGACAATTAAAACTAAATAATCAGTTTTTAGTTTATTTGCCAAACTAATCTGGTATGCCCATCACACAACTTTAATTTCTACCAGACAAAAAATATTTTGAATTCCATTTTTGATGAACTAAATCTTAAAGTTCGTGAATTTTGGTCCTATTTATTAATGTAAAAATTTATTAAGAGCAAACAAATAACACATATATTCGACAGTAGGTAATGCAAACCTCGTAACTCCCTCAGTCTTCTTAAACTATACAGCAGGATTGTATTACATAGTAAAAGGTAATTTTTATTAATTCTAATGATTCTTTGTTCTTCTAATTTGCTGATATATTCTTTTTCATTGGGGATTAATATGATTCCCTCCCCCCCCCTTACTGATACCTTTCATCCCTACAGAAAGTTTCATTCTACGAATAGTTGTCGTTACCCTAGCTGAGGAAAATCATCCTCCATGACGATATAGAGTCCAGTTTCCTGTCAGTAGTTTGTTCCTTATTATCTCAAAAGTGGTATAGTTCCTGACGATTCCCAACGGTTTCCCGAACAACAGAAACATCGGAGGTTGATGTCCTTCTCCACCCATTTTTAGGTTTGTATATAAATATTTTTCCTTATGTGATAATCCGTACATTTTTTTTTTCTGTTCTCTCCTTCCTCGCCTGTTAAGCTACGGAGTTTTCTCGAGCCAGAGAGTGAGGGCGGAGGATTAATGCTAGAGTTTAAAGTCCCATGGGCACCAGGACGCGAACTCGTGATTGTTTTATCGAATTATCTTTGATCCGGGTTGCCGAGCAGCGTCGGTGCTGTACACACGCATAAACCCGCGCGGCCATCCCACCAATGTTCTTCCTTAAGGCATGGAACATGACGCGAAAACCCTTAAGCTCTGTGAGAAAATGTGACATGTGAAATGAATCCCAATAACCAGAGAAGACCCATTTGGCTTCCAACAGTGAATATACAATAGAGAAGTATTTTCTCAAGATCTAGATTTTCTGAGAAGTTATCCACCTAGATTCCACTGCTGTATGGTATCGTGTGTATTGGTTTTGCCGCAATCCACAGGCGGATCTACGGAGGGCGGCTTTCGGGCTGAAGCAACCTCCCCAAAAAAATGGTAAAATATAACCATGTTTCACAGAAAAAAATATTAAAAATTATCTAAAAGCATTCTTATTCGTTTAATTACATTTAATAGGACTTCAAGAATCTCTTAAACACCATTTCGTATAGGTAATTAATTTCTTTCTTTTTTTTCAAATTAATTAGCGTTATATGTATATGAAAAAAAAAATCTTTCGGGCTGAAGCCCCCTCCCAAAATTAAATTATGGATTCGTTAGTGCCGCAATCCTTCCCTGGAGATTTTTCGTAAGATTTGCTGAGCCTTCCTTTTAGAGAAAGAAACTTTATATTTCGTTATACTTTCTTCTGATTATTATTAAATTCGTTATACTTTCTTCTGATTATTATTAAATTCGTTATACTTTCTTCTGATTATTATTAAATTCGTTATACTTTCTTCTGATTATTATTAAATTCGTTATACTTTCTTCTGATTATTATTAAATTCGTTATACTTTCTTCTGATTATTATTAAATTCGTTATAATTTCTTCTGATTATTATTAAATTCGTTATACCATCTTTTCAGTGGAGGTCGAAAGTTACTGCTCCCTTTAAAACCTGCACCACTTCATTAGATTTATAGGATTTAGTCTGTGGGCCAGACACCCCTACCGTGCACCTCCCCCCTATAAATTGTATATCGTTGTGTTCCTCGTAACTATTTATTTAAAAAAAGCCAATGTTCCCACAAAAAAAGTGAACAAACTGCCCCAAAATGGTGTCCAAACATGGCCGACTTTTTGACTTTAGTTAGTTTTTTGGTCATTTAGAATCATCATTTGGCTTAATTTCGTCATAGTCTTTTATCAAAGCTTGATTGTTAGAGAATAATAAAACATGAACAAATATTAAACAATATTGGTTTAGGCCGTAAAAAAACACCAGTAAAGTCAAATATTTTAACAAAGAAATTTTCAAGTTGAAAATCAAGCGACGTTTGTAACTAAATGCAGCAAAATACAGCAAAACGTGCTGAAATAAAACATCTAGATAATATATTTTTATTTCTAGAACACTCATTACTTTTTAAGATATTTGAAGCGGTTCCGTAGAAAATTCACATAAGCAACAGGAAAACGGTACTGGCGTAGGTGCCTACAGTCCCCTACCACACCACTCAGTACTCATAAATGGCTTAGTTATAGTGATATAATAACGTTTTTGGTACATTGTATTGATTTTATTAACGAACAAATATTAATGCAATAATTTAATTTTTTTTTTAAATTAAACAATTTATTTTCTAATTTTAAATTTAATTTCCTTTCTTCTATACGGAGGTCGTTTAAGAAGACCTCTATTGTGAAAATGATATAATTATAATAATAAAACTTAATTCAAAAATACTTTTCTGAATATCTTGAATTTTTTATTTAACGTTTTTAACACTTTGTTTTGTATATTTACTGATTCTTAGAGGTAATTTAAATTGTATATACTTTCCCGAAAATGAGTCATATTAATACCTGTTTTATAAACTAAAATACTATATATACCTAATCTTAACTACACATAATGAATAGTTGATGGGTTGTTTAGTAAAACTCATATATCACTAATAAAACAATTAATTTTTATTAGTGATATATGATTTTTGCCCTCTTTAAAAATTCAAAACCCTGTCAAAATGTCAAAACCCTCTTTTGGACACCCTTGCTTACTACTAACAACATCAAAAAGTATCAGGCGATAGGCCTAGTTTTCTTAAAACTGGAGGTTAAACGCATTAATAGAGAATGCGCAGTCATCCTAACTAAGTAGATCTGGGAATGATTTTTCATTTAAATTCAAATTAAATTCTAAAAATTTGCGGGCAATAAAGATACGAAGAACCATTAAAAGCTTTACACAAGATTATGATAATATCACCTAGTATAAAACTCTCATTTAAACAAATTTCTAAATTAAATAATACCTCTCCATAAGTAATATTTCTTCGCTCCATTCATACCTTCTGTTATCTGGATATCTACGTTAATACGATATTTGGTAACGATATAAAAACCAAACGTATCTATATTAATATATCAAAAAATAATTATAGGTATAAAATATTATTCAATATTAATAATTAATTTAAAAAATAGATCCCTAAAAAAAAGTAGAAGAAAAAAAGCAACTAGGCAAATATAAAGGTTGAAAAAAATACGACTTTTATGAACTGAAATTTAAAATATTTTGCTTCTTTTAGATGAATAAGGTTTTAATTTTCTATTATCGTAATGTTATTTGTCATTTTATATTTAAAACTATGTTCAATATAAAATTTAAATTTGATCCTTTTTACTTTCCTACCTAAACTAGGTAGGGAAAGTATTGCAATCGGGTCAAATTTCCGACATGCGTTTTTCGACGGACTATACGTTTCACAACCCCCTGAGTCCGAAAAACACATTTTTAGCCATTGGTCTGTCTGTCTGTCTGTCTGTGCCAAGATTTCCTCGGGAACTACTGAACCGATTTTGTTGCTTCTTTTTTTATTTTGTAGAGTTTTGACTACTGATGGCTGTGACAGATATTTGGTGCTCCATGCTCAATAGCTTGGATGTTTTTCAACCTGTTGGACTCAACATGTTTTTCCATAGACTGTAGCGCAAAGACGGCTCTAACGATTTTAATGAAACTTTTCTATAATGTTCTAATCATTGTTCTTTCAATTTTCGTATGTAGACTAAATTCCCTAAAAAATTCAGGAAAAAATGTTATAAAGTAAAGAAAAATGTTTTAGAGCCTAACTCCCTAAGTATATATTATACGGTAAAATTTATAATAAAACTTTTGAAAGGTAATTAAATCACCAACAAAACAAAAAAAAAAAAAAAAAATCATCGGAATCGAACCAGTATTAGCGATGATACAGCTTATTCTATTTTTTTAACTTATTACTTTCCTACCTATACTAGGTAAGGAAAGTATTGCAATCGGGTCAAATTTCCGACATGCGGTTTTTGACGGATCTATACTTTTCAGAGCCTCCTGAATCCGAAAAACACATTTTTAGTCATTGGTCTGTCTGTATGTCTCTCTTATACTTTCAACATAAATTATTGTTTGTAAATGCTAAGCTATGCCAAAAAGTTTGTGATCAGCAATATTAGGAAATATTGAAATTTTTACACTGATCTATCTTAAGCCGGTTTACATTGCTTTAGTTTATCAAATAAATCGTACTCAAATCTTATGTTTGATCAATTTTCAGGAAAATGTATCTAGTTCAATTCTTTTTTTGTTTCGTCATGAACATATGTAAAGTTATAAAAACTTTTTGAAATAGGTAGGAAAGTCGTGTGGATGGACACACCAATTTTTTTTTCCAAAACGAACAAGAATGGTAACAAAAGGCATTATATCGCTGAGACTGCTCAACGCGCTACCAGCGAAATAGTACCTCTTCCATTAAAGCAGACGCACTATCGCGATTTACAGTACTAGCGAAATAGTACCTAAACAATCCTGTAAAGTTACATTCAATTTATTCTTAACGAATATAAACCATTTTAAATTCTTCACTTCTTAAATATTCCATTAAAAATAATAAATTATATTGCCCCACCTAAGACCTGAAACGCTAGAAGACCAGGAATGGCGAGAAGAAATAGAAGAATGGACATCCTTTTGCAATCCTCATTCACTTCGAAACTGGCCATCGCAGATTCGTTGGGTCTTTTATAGATAAGGGTTAGATAACGCTCTCCTGCGAATTGTAACCGAGATATCTTGAGTTCACATCTCTGATTAAGATATGTTAGTCCTAGTTTTTACAGATAGTTTAGAGTCTAAACTATAGACTCTCAAGGCTTTGTTTTTATTAATTTTTCAATAATTTAAAATTAATTTATTTATTTCTTTTTTTGATTGATTGTTCTTCCATATAATAATAATAATAATAATAATAATGCTTTATTTATTCTGGGACGAGTCCCTTAAGTTATTTTCTAATTTAAATCAGTTAATAATAAAAAATTAAAAATAAACATGAAGTAAAAATAATGAAAAACGATCTAATACTTTATATACATATTTACAGTAGTAGCTACTTACAATTGTATGAGGGCAGGATGGATAAGAAATTATTGAACAGTCGGAATTTAAAGGTAGGAAGGGTTTTGGATTGACGGATGTGGGGAGGGATGGAGTTCCATAGGGAAAAGGATCGAATAATAAAAGATTTATCTAAAGCAGCGGTTCGGTGGGCCATTATATATAGATCTGAAGAACGGGAACGGGTATTGCGGGAGTGGACAGAGGATTTCAACTGCAGGAGCTCGGAGATGTATGAAGGACGGCGGGAGTTACTTGGAAGAGGAAGGATGCCAGGAAATGCTTAAGGTGGTAGGAAGGATAAAGCCACTTCAACTCTTCATAGAATGTATAATTATATTTTATTTTATTATTGTCAGCAACTAAGTTATTAGTGTTTATATATCTTGTAGTTGAAGCGTTTGTTGATACACGATACACTTTCTTTGTTCTGCATTTGAGCGTTCTTATTTTTACTTTCACTTACCTATATATATATGAAATATATAGCTAGAGAAAGTATTGCGATCGTGAAAATTTTCGAATCTGAGTTTTCAACGGAAATACACTTTTTGAGGTCGCTTGAGTCTAAATAACAGTCCCGCAAAATGGTCTGTGTTTGTTTTAACAGTCTAGCTCAAAAATGAAAAATTGTACGAAAGTGAAATTGCGTATTTAAGGTTTTTATATGCTGGGGATGTTACAGCAACTTTTTCGTCTAAATCGGCTAATCGGGAATGGCACTTTATACATAATAATTGTTCATGTTTCTGTGTACTACAATTTAACACTAAATATAATTCTAAACTTATAAAATCAAGTACTATTCCTTTGTTCATTTGTTCATAGGAAAATTAATAATAAATAAATAAATCTGCATTAAAAAAATAGATGAATAAATGAAAATAATAATAATTTCAATATGACTAAACTAAAATAATTACTCTGTGAATAACTTATTCAATATTATTTTGATCAGTTTTTATACCATTATAATACCATGTTTGTATCTTTTTAAACTTTGCTTTTCACTTTCACTTACCTATATATGAAATATAAAGTACGGAAAAGTATTACGAACGTGAAAATTTTCAAATCTCAGTCTGATGTTTTGAGCCCAAATAACCAAGTCACGCAAAATGGTCTGTATGTGTGTGTTAACAGTCTAGCTCAAAAGCGAAAAGTAGTACGAAAGTGAAATTTAAAATATTTAAGGTTTTTATATGCTGGAGATTTTACAGCATCTTTGTCGTTAAAATCGGCTAATCGGAAGTGGCACTTTAATTCATGGATTAAACACAGTTTTTTTCGATTTTTTCGAAAACGCCTCCAACAATTTTGATTACATTATTAATATCAGTGTTAAATTAAGCATTTTAAAATAGAATATAATTTTTATTCTGATTGAGTTCTCTAACATGGCTTAAATGGCTAATTTTCAATATTAGCTTCTCCTAAAATACCTTTATTTTTTTTATTTGAAACAATTGATCGTTTCACATTAATCTGTAATATAAAAGATAGTTAAATATAGAGTATACAAGAATTTGATAATTAACTAAATAAGATATCGTAACGGAGAATTGTTGTAAATGAGGGACCATAAATTAGAACACGCTTCCATACATAACATGACTTAATATAATGGCTCCGACAATATTATGTAATTATACGTATGCGGTTTTCATATATGCTATGGTTGGTATTATTAAATATTTAATTGTATAGATTACAGCGACGTAAATATTAAAATTTTCTCTCTATATATATGTGTATTTATAAATAAAAAAAATACCCACAATGAAAGATAAATCAATATAACCTTTATAATTTTTACTTTCACTTCCCCTTTGTCTGAAAATAATGGCGAAGTGTTGACTGAGTAATTATTTCTTACATTTTAGGAACTCGAACTCTTGTGTTTTTCAATATTCCAATTGACTATATTCTAACATGTCAGCTAAGAAAAGAAAAAGAGTTTAAGAGGCAACGTGCAACAATCAGATTATTAAAGCTTAATTACAAAAATTGTCTTTTCAAATATTTGGAAAACGTAGATGATCACCTTTTTGATATGATATCATTCATATAATCACTAATTTTAATATCATAAAATAATTTTTTTTTGGTGGAATGAGGGAGTAGATGACTGTGCTCTCAGTCACGGATTCGAGTCCGGCTATGGCAAGTAAATATTTATTATGTTTCATTAGCCGTGGTTCGACTCTGGTGTCTCTGTCAAATCTCCTCGTACCACTAACGTTGACCAAGAAACTTCGATATAAAGTACTGAACCCACATAGCCATGGAACCAGGGCCCAAAAATCGACCTGATCTCAGGCGATGGTTTCATTGTAAATTATGAAAGTGTATGTTATTCTGAGTAAAAAGAACCTTGTCTGCCGTTCCAGAGCCGCTGCTTTAAAAAATGGCTGCTGATTTCAAGAATATTAGGCCAGTAATTTGAGGATCGAAACGGGAAATGTATTGCGAAAAATGTGAGAAAAGTTTTTATTTTTTTAACTTGTATATACAAACATGTGAAAAACAAAATTACTAACGCGGGCCTCCAAGGGAAAACATTTTACAGCCAAAATAGATTTTTTTCGATATGGTTTGTTTTTTTCACCTATAACTCCTAAACGATGCATCAAAGCGACAATTGTATTCTTTAATAAATTAAAGAACGTTATAATTTGGTAACGCGGTAAGGTTTGAAACCACAGCCGACCAACGCTGATTTTTACCGAATTTGTCAAAAACTGAGGCAAATTACTATAAATGGCCCTGCAACTTGGAAATGTGTTCCTTAAGAGGAAAACCCTTAGAATCAAAGTTGTAGAGCATTAAATTTTGCATCAACTAATTACTGAGATTTTTATTTTAGGCCAATTATATATCTCGAATCGTGATTCGTTATTCCTTTATAAAATTCGGTATCTTTCGACACATCGTTTACCAAAATCCTTTGCTGCTGAGAGGTGGAAAAGAGGCTTATACTGCATGTGAGACTCTAAACAAAAATAACTCAGTAGAATAGGCACACACTGTTGAAATATTGAAAATCACGTTTACCTTCATTACCAATTTCTATCCATCGGGAGATTACCAATTTTCTTCGCAGCAAGTGGCCTACATTAAATTAGTTGGTACTCAATAGATGCAAAATTTGATGCTCTACAACTTTTATTCTATGGGTTTTTCCTCTAAGGGAACTCATTTCCAGGTTACATGGCTATTTATACTAATTTGTCACAGTTTTTGACAAATTTGGTAAAAATCAGCGTTGGTTGGCCGTGATTTTATACCTTACTCCGTGACCACATTATAAAGTTTATGTACTCGTTTGACGCAAAATTTAACGTTCTTTAATTTATTAACGAATACATTTGTCGCTTTGATGCTTCGTTTAGGTGTCATAGATAAAAAAACAAACAATATCGATAAAAATCCAACTATTTTGGCTGTTAAAAGTTTTCCCTTGGTGCACTAGCGGATCCAGGATTTAATTTTGGGGGGGGGCTTCAGCCCGAAAGCTTTTTTTTTCATAAAAGTAACGATAATTACTTTGGAAAATAAGAAAGAAACTAAGAACCTATATGAACTGGTGTTTAAGTGATTCCTAAAGCCCTTTTAAATGTAATTACACGAATAATTATACTTTAAGAGATAATGTTTTTATATTTTTTCCGATAAAACATGGTTATATTTTACCATTTTGGGGGGGGCTTCAGCCCGAAAGTCCCCCCCCCCGTAGATCCGCCCGTGCCTTGGTGGCCCGCGTTAGCTATTTTGTTTTTTACATGTCTAAACCCATATATATTAGTTAAAAAAATAAAGACTTTTCTCACATTTTTCGCAATGGATTTCCCGTTTCTATACTCAAATTAGTGGCCTAATATTCTTTAAATCAGCCGCCATTTTTTAAAGCAGCGGCTTTGGAACGGCAGATAAGGTTCTTTTTACTCAGAATAACATACACTTTCGTAATTTACAATGAAACCTTTGCCTGCGATCAGGTCGATTTTTGGCCAAGATCCTTCGTGGATTGTAGTAGTACAGATTTTTGTATGGATACGGTGACAATACATGAATATAATGGAATATTTATTGTCTTTGATAAAAAAGAAATAGTAGAGCGGTACCGGAAAATACTACAGACAAATAAACAAAAAGAAATTGATTTGATATATTTGTATGTAAAATGTAATCGAATGGTAACATTACAGTTTGCCAAAACTCAGCAAATCCTTTGATTGTGCCGATTTTTCAAAACACCATACATTGTCAGACAAACGTGAAGATTGTAGCTTGTTATCAGTAATGACCTTTGTTTATGATGCGGCTGTAAACATCGTAAACTAGAGATGAGTAGACAAATTAACGAACTCGTAACAAAAAAGATTTTAAGATTAACTTTTATTATCCAAGAACATAATACTCTGGCACTTGTACAAACTAATTTGTATCAATTGCTACAAACTAATTTACATACAAGCTTATTCACAGTATATTATCAAGAGCTGTATGATTCTGATATTGAATGTCTTTTTCAGTAAAATGAAGGAATTTATAAGAAAAATATTACAGAAAAAATAGTTAAAAGTCTTGAGAACAATCCTTTCCTCAAGGTTTAGTACAAGAGTGCCCATCTTCCCTCCTCCCCTCCTCCCCCCCAAGGTAATTCCTAACTTGTAATAAACTTTCCCACCCCTCCCAAAAAATTGTATTGCTCTCCTCTTCTTGAAACCTGTCCAAGCAAACGTAGAATTAGAACAATCGTAGATCATATCAAATTACACTTACTGTGTCTAGTTCATGTTTTTCCTCTTGTTCTCTGGTTTGTAACTTTTCACTGCTAAAATTTATAACCATATCGGAATATGTCCCCTCAAAAATTTAAAATCCTGTCAAAATGTGTCTCCCTCAAAAATTTTGATTTTGATGATAGGATTAACTGAACTTTATTGATTGGACGTGATTTGACAGGAATAAATTGATTGGATGTACTTTCAAACGATTGATCTTATGTGCTTTGAGGGGTTGATATGGCCTTAAAAGAAATAAAAGGTTTTTCAACAATAAACTCAGATATGGCAATAGAAGTAATTTCTTTTGTTTGTTAATATAAAAAAATAAAACTTCAAACTATCTTGGTTGTTAGTAGAGAGCAGCAGGAAGTTGCAAAACTCGACCATAAAACCCTTTTGTCAGAATATTTTTCACCCCTCGAATTTCACTACCAATATCTTAGACCAAAGTTTTAGTGTTGATGTAAAGAAATAAATACATTATAAGAAATAAATAAACAAATGAAGACTTTTTTTACAGAAATAAACTCCCTTTATGTGAAGTTTCTGCTCAGAGGAAATCATATATGAGTTAAGTTTAACTAGAAACAATAAGAATTGTAACAGAAATAATTTTTTTTTTGGAAATCGAACTAATTAAGATTGAATATTTCTTCTAAAATCTTTAAAGTTGATGTAAATATGTTGATGATAAATGTGAAAATTATGCTTTTAAGAATTATAAATGGAAATTGTCTTCAGTATTTATTTTATCTCCAATTTATTTTAAAGCAATTATTGAATAAGTTTTAGAAGAGGATAATATGCTATATTTTTAAAAATAAAATTAATTGAATTTCTTTTCATTATATTTGATATTTTGATATTGAACATAGAAAATAAATGGTGAAACTTGTGCCACGGCACCCCCTTCTGGACACCCCTGGTTCAGTAAATAGGAATAAGAAATAAAGCTATGATTTGATGTCTTAGATAATATTCATCAAGCTATTTTGTGGAATATTCAGATTGAATAGCAATAAACTCTTGGTAACTAGATATTGGTAACAAAAGCATGGCTTGTGCGAGGGTCTAGTTATATAAATTACAATTAGATTGTAACTTAGTTATATAAGTAACTTTAGTTTGTAAAATTAACTTGACAAGACAGCATTGATTGAACTTGATTGATTTGACAGAAATAAATCAATGAAGAAATTGATTGGATGCACTTTCATAGGATTGATGCTTTGAAGGGTTTATATGGCCTTAAAAGAAATAAAAGGTTTTTCAGCAATAAACTCAGATATGAAAATAGAAGTAATTTCTTTTCTTTGTTAATATATCAAAAGCTTATGGTTTTCTCTATTGAAAATGGGCTAAAAGTTGGAGTCAAAAATAAATAAAGTAAGAAAAAAAAAGATCATATTGAGATTTATTTTTAGAAAAATATAAATGAATTTTACAAGAGAGAAAGAGAGAAACACTTTATTTTCATAAAATATAAAGGATTGCTGCCCAATTATATTGGGTTGCTATATACACAGCATACTCTTCTATCCTTAGGACAATATATGAACTTATATATAAATATACAGAAGTATTAGTTAATATTAGTAAAATAGATATACATATATAGATATACATTTTTATTATTTTATTTTTTTTCCATTTTTTTTTTTTTTTCCTTTTTCCTTCCTTTCATTGTTCATGCTTTTTTTTTTTTTTTTAACATTTAGTTTCCCTTTCTCTCACTTCTCTCTCTTTATCTCTATTTTTTTCAATTATTCATTAAATAAATAAATAAATACATAAATTAAAACTCTCGGGCTAGCCATGCATGTGGTGGTGAATGATTCTCAGGGAGTCGAGGACTATATTTTCAGCCAACCTCGCTACGTCCTTAATGTCGACACCTAGTTCCTCGAGGAAGCTCCTTGTTCTTTTTGGGATAGTTCCGCGAGATTTTACAAATATGAAAAAACATACCAGGCCCCCCTTTTTGATTTTAGTTAATCATCGGATTCTTTTTAAACGTAAAAAAAAATATTAAAAAAATAATTACTCTACATGACAACTTCCCAACTTAAGAGAGAATCAATTTCAAAACTGAAGAATTATACCTTTCCTACCTATACTAGGTAAGGAAAGTATTGCAATCGGGTCAAATTTCCGACATGCGGTTTTCGACGGATCTATACGTTTCAGAGCCACCCTGAGTCCGAAAAACACATTTTTAACCATTGGTCTGTCTGTCTGTGCCAAGACAGGGACTACTACTACAGCCAAGATTTTCTCGGGAACTACTGAACCGATTTTGTTGCTTCTTTTTTTATGTTGTAGGGTTTTGACTACTGATGCTTGTGACAGAAATTCGGTGCTCCATGCGCAATAGCTTGAGCGCAATAAATGAAAAACCTGTTTTTCTATAGACTGTAGCGCAAAAACGGCTCTAACGATTTTGATGAAATTTTCCTATAATGTTCTAATCATTGTTCTATCAATTTTCGTACATAGGCTAAATTTCCGAAAAAATCAGAAAAAAATGTTATAAAGAAACGAACAATGTTATGGGGCCTAACTCCCTAAGTATTTATTATACGGTAAAATTTATAATAAAACTTTTGAAAGGTAATTAAATTACCAACAAAACAAAAAAACAATCATCGGAATCGAACCAGTATTAGCGATGATACAGCTTATTCTATTTTTTACACATTTTTTTAACTTATTACTTTCCTACCTATACTAGGTAAGGAAAGTATTGCAATCGGGTCAAATTTCTTGCCTGTCGTTTGAAAGGTAATGAAATTCCCTACAGACCGTATAAAAATTGTTCATTTTGTACAACTATTAATGAAGTTACAGCTATTCAATTTCCAATGTAAGATTATGGTTTCATATCCTGGTGTCAGAAAGGGGTGAATGAGAGAATAGAGATGACTAAGTGAAAGTAAGAAAATCTGTTTCCCGCATCATACATCTTCACTATTTCCTCTTCTTTTAGCAGAAATTATTGTTTGACAATACTAAGCTATGGCAAAAAGGTTTGGATCAGCAACATTAGGAAGTATTGAAATTTTTACACTGATCTACCTTAAGCCGGTTTACATTGCTTTAGTTTATCAAATAAATCGTACTCAAATCTTATGTTTGATCAAATTTCAGGAAAATGTATTTAGTTCAATTCTTTTTTGTTTCTTCATGAACTTATGTAAATATATAAAAAACTTTTCTGAAATATGTAGGAAAGTCGTGTGAGTGGACACACTAGATATTTTTTATATGATATTCTACAAACTTCAAAAGCAACAGTAAAATTAAATAAATATTGTACATTATTTAAAAAACAAACCACATACATAGAATCAATAATCATGAAAAATAAAAAAAAAACATACATAGAAACTATATTTACCTAAATATTATTAAAAACTATTTGTTATGTCTAATAATAAGGTAAAGTAACTATCTGATAGGACTAAAACCAAATGTAAATCACATAAATAGAATGAATAGATAGAAACCATGGTATAACATAACAAGACTAAACTCGTTTATTATTTTTTTATATTATTTAACAATTTATTAACTTTACTTCATTCAAAGTATCTGTTCCATTCATATCAACTGAATCAACAGAGCTATCATACAACTTTCATAATCATTATCATAACATGATCCAGGATTTTAATATGACTCCTCTCTCTTCATTTCAATAATATTAGATCATAAGGCAATATATTAGATATAAATTTAAAAAAATGAAGAAAATTCATCTCTGAAGTCTTCACATTTAGAGTTTATTTATATGTATGAACACCATCTTTCTGTATATTCTAGAAATTCTATAAGTGTTTTTAGGATAAAATTTAGACTGTTCAGGAGGATTAAAAAGACCACTGAATAAATAAAAATTATATTAAATAATCTCAATTATTTACATTTAAATACAATGAATGCTTGTTACAGTATAAAAGAAAATTAAAAGGAACAAAATTTCAATTAAATAAATAAGGCTGAATCTAGAACAGATTCAATTATTTTTTATATAAAATAAAACAGCACAGGTACACTAAATTTGTTAAATTACATTAAATTTTTTAACCTAAAAAGTAATTGTGCCATAATTATCATTATCACAGATGAAATCAGGGATGAAGATCCTGAACGTTGAGATTTAGCGAGCAGTGGCTTTGGGGTATAGTTCCCTATACGCAATGCATACTTGATCACTTCAGCCACATATGTCTGTTCATGCATGCGATGGAAAAGATATGCATTTGGACCTAGAAATGAAATATTAGTTTAATTAAATATTACTTTTTTAAAAACTTATAACATATTATATTTATGATAAAGGATTTTAATATCTATGTATGATTTTTTTTTAATTCTTGATATTTGAACCTAATCAATCACCTTTATACGAGTCGTTTATTTCCTAAGTGAATCCTAATTATTATTAAATATGTTTCAGAATAGCCTAACCACAATTGTGAACTAAGTTAAAAAATTAACTTTTCCCTAAATAAATAATTAAATATTTATAAGTTGTGCACATTTCATTCTGTAATCATGGGACATGTAATCATATTTTAATATCAAAGTAGCTTTTTCGAAACAGACAAATTTTCAATTAACATCAATGAAAGGTAGAATTCCAGAATCAGCCAAATCCTTTTTCAATTTTTTGAACTAATTTTTTTATAGTTTACTATTCTTACGATATTATATTAACATATGAATAAAATATTGTGATACAACTTATTTTTATTTACTGTTTACATTGTAATTTTTTTTACTTAGGTCATTACTGTCCAGGGGTGCCCAGAAGGGAGTTTCATGACGCAAGTTACTTCATCAAAATTTTTGAGCTGGGCACATTTTTATGGGGGTATTTATTTTCAGAGGAAAAAGTTTCAAACCAGGGGACTAGCTAAAAACATGAACCAGACTACAGCAAGTGTAATTGTATATAACCAACGATTTTTCTTATTTTACTTTCCCTTGGACTGTTTTTAAGAAGAGTCGAGCAATAACATTTTACAGGAAGTTAATTCGCCATTGACCTGATTTAAAAAAAACATATATGGGCACGTATTTTAGTAACAATAACAAAAAACAATATATCAACAGTCGTTCATTCACAACATGGAACCATAAACTTTAGTGAGCAGCTGCAAAAATTTACAAAAATGGATTTAGGCTGGTTTTGAAACCTAAAATCTCAAACATAGTATGTAGAATGATACTTTTAAGTTAATTTATTAATAAATATATAAAATGTACATGAGAAGAATAAACTAGAATTTAAAAAATAAAATATTAAGTTATCATTTAGTGGGATACTACAGTTTCTCACCTGTTGCATAAACGAACACATCACTTCCTCCATGAAAATTCGTAGCATCTGGCACGACACCTGCAGCTCTGTAATCGTACGAAGTGGTATCCACCTTTGAAGGATCCTCTCTTACAACAGTACCGTTTACTGCTTTCATTTTGAAATTATGTCTTCCTACGACGGCATAATTGAGAATGGTGTATGGTGTTTTATCGACTAATGATTTACCAGCAATACCTAAAAATTCCATTGAATAATTTAATTATCTGTTTGATATAATATAAACTAAATTTTTTTAAGAAATTAAATAAAAATAAATTTATGTCCTAAAATTGATGCCTCATCAGAAAAGTTTATGTATGAATGATTATTACATTAGCCCAACAATTTGGCCAGTGCACTATTAATATAATTTATTTCCTCAATGAACATAAATAAAGTAATATTTTTCAGCATATAAGCATCAATATTAAGTATTTCTACTTGAATGAAAATACAGAATAATAAAAAATAAAATGAAAATTAAACTGAATTATTAAGTTTCCATATTTTCAAATATTTGCATTGATTCAGAGTAGGTACTAGTACTGTTACTTGGGGGGAGGTGAGGGACTAGTCTCGAAAGTGGACCTGGAGTTCTTTTTGTTTACCCCTGATTGCCATTGGTGCAGACTTTGGGAGACGATAAGAATAGAGAGGGTGTAAGAATATTGTTTCGCTTCCCAATATTCCGATGAACAAAAATTAAAATCAATAACAATTAATCTTACCTGAATGAATAAAATGTGTAAACTAAAAATCAATTTAAAAATATTAAAAAAAATGGGATACTATCAAAATATATTAAAAGCAAGAAAGTATTTATTGGGGAGGTCAGGGAAAAGCCATTTCAAGATGGTATACCATAAATGAAATGTAAGTGTCTCTAGGAATAATGAAAATTAAATGAATAATTTTTTACCTTACTAAAGCAGTATGGATAATATAACTAAACAACTCCAGGTTTTTTGTAATGGGAAAAATAAAGTTCTAATAAAAATGCAGATTTTAGACAGCTTACAGCTTGATGGAATCACTTTATAAACTTGAAGATCCAGATTAATGAGCAGTTTATCATACGTCTATACAACAAACTTATTACTACATATCATGTGAAAACTTAAACCAGACATGGACTTCATATAAAATGGTCATACTGAGAATCATTCCGTAAGTCTTGGGTAAGGTCAAGCCTACAAAGATTGCACCCTGGTTCAACAATTAGTGTCAAGCTATGACTAATACCAAAAATACTATTAACAAGAAAACATTTCAATGAAGATATTCAAGAGAAGACATGCAAGAGAACAGAGAAAAAAATAATTGAAAAGTTACATTTCCAGAAAAAATGTCATAGAGAACAGCTGGTTTACATTAAGCAGAACAGACAGAATATTGATGTAAGAAAATTCTCTCAAATCACCATTAAAAAAAAAATATGACCCTTAGTAAATGCATGGATAGACCAACATGGAAACTTGCTGAATGACAAGAAAAATGTCCATAGTAGATGGAAGAACCAATTTTATAATTTGTTGGAGGGTGGCAATAGGACAGAGGATGATGCTGTGGAGATGCACGTAGAAGAATTTGAGTTTCCAGACGACGATGAGGGCAATCGCGATAGAGCTTAAGGATCCAATATCTGGGTCAGTGGGTCAGTATTTAACAGATCAGCTATGATCCAAGGCTTTCCAAGAAATATCAATGTGATTACGAGGACTCGCGGAATGATGAAAGAGAAATAATAGTACTTATTATAAATAAAACAAAGAGTTTGTTTCACGAGCAAAAACATTAGGACAGCCAAAAGTACTTCAGTCATTACACCTTTGGGATATTAGAAGAATTCATCAACTTTGAAACTTAGGTAATCTTTAGAAATCAATTTGACCTAGGAATCCATCACTGACTCTAGAAGCACCTCATATACAGAGATTTATCTAGAGCCATCAATGTACAACACTTTCACTTTTATGGATTGGAATGCTAAAAACTTTCCAGAATCCAGGAACTGGCTCTTACAAGATTTTAATGCTGTTTCCAAAGCAGTCTGTAATGACTGATCCTAGTAACATCTGTCTTTTGTAATGATGCCAAGAATACCAATGTTATTAAGTTAAGTAGACTAAAGTAGGCAGAACATTTGGACTTAAATCGGAACTGAAGCCAGAGGAAGATGTAGGATATAAGGCCGAATGGAGAAAGATAAATTGGCAAAACCAAGCTGCACTAGGCAGATATTGCGACTGATGAAGCTTGGTCCATCCTGGTTATCCAGAACCAGAGAGCATTAGCATGGAAAAAAAATAATGGTATTCAATATGTTTAAAGCAGTGTTGCTCTCTGGTGTAATGTAATGTTATAAGAAATATATAATCATAGGCACTCTGTTTTTTAATCCAAAAAGAACTATCTATTTCAAAACCTGATAATTCATAAATGAGCGGTAAAAAGGAACATGGAAAGTTCCATTGTACTTACCTAAGATGTTAGATCCTATATCAGGATAACCACTGATAGTGAGAGTGTGAGAGTGGTCACTGGTTACGATAACGAGTGTTTCTTCTTTGATACCGGCAGCCTCTAACAGTTTCATCGTACTGTTCACGGCTATGCTTAATTGAACCGTTTCACTGAGGGCGATGCGAGCTTTACCATTGTGATGGCCTTGGTCAATAAGGCCACTTTCTACCTAAGAAATAACATATTCAAATATAATAAATAAATTAGCTAAAAAAAAACTATCAAAATATTTTATTAATTAACTTACCATTAAGAAGAATCCGTTTTTGTTGTTGTTAAGAACTTTGATAGCTTTTGTTGTCATCTCTTCTAATGTAGGTACTGATGTATCAGAATGATTGACTGCGTGAAAGTACGGGAAGTGGTCATTACAGAAAATGCCTATAAAGATAGATGATAAATTATTGATAGCTCAGACAGAAAATTCATTCAATATTTTCTGTTGATTGTTATATTCTGGTATTATTTATTTTAAGTAAATCAATGATAAAAGATAAGATCAAATAATTAAATATCTAAAATCAGCAATAATATTGACTACAGCAAGGACATTAACTATAATTAGTCAAAATACTTGATTAAAATTAACAATACCAATTGTTATTCGACTAATTTTTAATTATATTTTAATAGCAGAAAAATAATTTGCCATTTAATATTTAAGTAAGGAGTTTAGTATAAATACTGTTGCATCTGTTATATTATTTTTTTTTTTCAAGAATCTATTTTTATATAAGTTTTCTATAATATATCTTTTGAAAGAATTACATTATTTCTATCCCTAAACTGACAATTTTAATAAAGGAACCATAGTAACTCACATTATTACAAGAAATAATGTGTTAGGAAGATTTTTTTAAAATCTGATCTTATTCTTTGGAGAAATAATTCTAAAAGATTTGACATATTGATATAAATCACATAGAAAATAATGTTTTAACATACAAAAAACACTAAACAATACATATTGCCCGGGGGCGCCGAATGCTTAAGGCCGGTACTGTTTAATTATTTTTTTTCTCGATTTTCAAATAATCAATCTGATTATTGAAATATTAATGTTGAGCATAGTGCAATAGATGTTATTTACCTAGGACATAATCAGTCTTGCTTGTGTCCATGTCTAATAGCTCCTTCCTATTTTTGGGCAAGGCAAATTTTACTTTTTTATTTTCCATTCTTCGAGCCCATTCTGCGATAAGATTAAGGCCATCTAGCCTTTTACAGGTTGTCGCTCCTTCTGCTATAGGATCTTCAGCGGTCGCAGGAGGATCCGTCATAAGTTGCTGCCTTCCACCACCCATTATCACCTGGAATTAATAATAATTAGGATAATTAATTATATAAACGATTGCATGGATTACCGATGGGAGGAATAATTTTATAATATGAATATATACGCACGATGTATTGCTTAGTAAATTAGAACTAAAGATTAATAAAAAAATCAAGTAATCCACAAATTGAAATTCGCTGTTGAGCTGAATTGCTAAAGGCCTACCAAGATAAGGTGCACAAGTTTGTTAATTCTATAAAAAATTATAAAGAAGACATATAAAAGATAAAATGAAATATAAGATTGATATCAAATTAAGCAAATACTACTACAGTAATGACAAAAATTAAAACAAACAATAGCATGAAAAATAATAATAGAAAAAATCTGACTAGTTAGAACATAATTATTTAATATAAAATCAAAGAAATATAATCATAAACTAAAAAAATAATTATTATATAATTGTAATACTAATAAATAACAAATTTAATAAGATAGTCAGGTAAACAGTTGCACGTATAACCAACGGGAAGAACAATATTAATTAATATTCGTGGATTTTACATGAATAACATATTTAATAAGAATTTAGAGCTAACGATAAAAATGAACCAAGTATATTGTTTAGGACTAAAATTATGAAATGTAAACAGTTTGATAATTCTATAAACAATTAGAAACTATAATCAAACTTTATTATGGTAGCAGAAAATTAAAAAAAAAAAAAAAATGAATAAAAGTGGAAAAATCTGACTTGCTCGAACCAATTATTGACTATAAATTTATAAAAATAAAGAAGTATAATGATAAAATGAAAAAAAAAATTATATTATACTGAATAAAAAATAATAATTATAATAAAAAAGTATGGTAAACAAGCAAAGATGTCAAATAAGCCACAGTGACAATTAGAAAGGAATATTTTTAAAAACTTTTAATAAAGTTAAAAAATTATTTTATGAATGAATTATTAATGTGGTATACTTTTAAGGGTACTTTCGTGAAGAAAATTTCTTCTTTTTATTAAAATATTTATTTATTGCCTCATTTTGAGACTGTAAATTCCACTGACTTTTGAGTTGATTTAACATATGATCGAGTATTTCTGAGATAATACATAGAAATAGATATATAGAAAACAGTTTTAATACGTACATTAAAATTTTTTCCTGGCTCATCTTCTATCATCTGTCTAGCAATATCTTTGCATTTGCTAGCGTAGTATGGCATCCTAGTATCACATTCCCAGTCCCTAAATGATGAGTGTGCATACATCGCTGCTGGGGTGGCGTGAGTAACACGCGCCGTGGTAACGATGCCTGCAACACATTATAAGTATATATTTTTTCTTGTTCTTCTACTTTTTAATCCTCAATAACTTCTAAAGCTTTCATTTACTTACATTATATTATGATTAATTTTAGTTTTTATTTTATGTGTACTGTAACCAGCAGGATATTTCTTTATTCAATATTAAATATTCATTTTGAGATGATGCCAAAACATACAATCATTATATTTTATTGAAAAATCATAATAACAATTTTAAAAATCTACAATCATAGTTATCCATCCAATTTAATGTGACTGAAAATTATACTTATTTCTTATCATTTTATTAATGAATATATGTAATGGATTTGATTTTCAACCCTAACCTATTAATATAGTACGGAAAATGGCTAAGTACATTGGAAAGAGTGTCCTACAATTCTCTGTTTTTGCAGAGTACATTACATTTTCACCCAGGTCAGTTAATGTTTATTGTGGTCATCCAAAAAAATAAAACTTGAAACTATCTTGCTAGCAGTAGAGGGTAGCAGGATATTGCAAACCCTACTATAAAACCTTTTTTTCAGAATATTTTTCATCTCTCGAATTACGCTACCAATATCATAGACCAAAGATTTAGTATTTATGTAAAAAAATAAATACGGTATAAGAAATAAATAATCAAATGAAGACTTTTTCTTACAGAAATAAACTCCCTTTATGTGAAGTTTCTGCTCAGAGGAAATCATGTGAATTAATTAAGTTTAACTAAAAACAATAAGAATTTTATGAGGAGTTAGTTGGGGGTGCAGTCAGATAAATACTAAATTAAAATATAGTAATTATTTTATTCATTATTTATATTATGCCGACGTTTCGACCCACTTTGCAGGTCGTCTTCAGGGCTAAAAAAGATACAAAACATTTTGAGAATGAAAATTAAATATAAGTAGATATAAAATAAGAAGAAGTTGTCAGATACAGAAATAAAAGATGATATCAGAAATATGGTGGGTGACAATGTAGTAAAATATTAAGTATTATGTATACAAGAATAAATGAAAGAATCAGATACAAATAAATGGAAAATAAGTATGAATAAAAAATGAATAAAAATAAAAATAAACTTTATTTTTATTTATATTTATTTTTATTTTTATTCATTTTTCATTCATACTTATTTTCCATTTATTTGTATCTTCTATATATATAATACTTAATATTTTAGTACATTGTCACCCACTATATCTCTGATATCATCTTTTATTTCTGTATCTGACAACTTCTTCTTATTTTATATCTACTTATATTTAATTTTTATTCTCAACATGTTTTGTATCTTTTTTAGCCCTGAAGACAGCCTGCAAAGTGGGTCGAAACGTCGGCGAAATTGAAATAAAATAATTACTATATTTTAATTTAGTATTTATCTGACCGCACCCCCGACTAACTCCTTCTCATATTGTATCAACGGTCAACCATCTCTACATCAATAAGAATTTTAGCAGAAATAATAATTTTTTTTTCGAAGTCTAACTATTAAAGATTGAATATTTCTACAATATTTCTTCTAAAAGCCTTAAAATTGACGTAAATATATTTATGATAAATGTGGAAGTTATGCTTTTAACAATTATGAATGTAAATTGTCTTCAGTGTTTATTTGATCTCCAATTTATTTTAAAGCAATTATTGGATAAGTTTTAGAAGAGGATAATATGCTATATTTCAAAAAAAATAAAATTAATTGAATTTTAATATTTCACATAGAAAACAAAAATCTATTAATTTTTTTTTAATGTTTTGTAGATATTAATATATTATAACTCTTCGTACACTTTTTATATCAAATTAATCAAGTAGAAATTTATAAATAGCAATACTAATGTTATGTACAAGATAGAAAATTATTCATTTCATTATACTCAGCTGGTTTAAGTATCAAATAAGATGAATTATAATTACCAGTTGCTTTCCCTGCATCTTGTGCTAATTTTGCAAGAGTAACAACTTGATTCTCTTTAACAGCACTGCCGTCGCAGTCAAATCTCTTCACTGTTGAATGTACACCTAGTGTATGAATATTAGTTTTGACTCCAGCGAACATGGCTGTTCCTGAACAAGCTGAATCAGGAACTTGCCTGTCATTGGAATAAGTCTGGAATAAAATTTGTTGTTTTAATAATGAATTTTAAAAACTCTTTGATAAAAATAAATTGACTTTCTCAATTTAATTTAATTTAATGTGATATTTTTCTATATCATCTTATATCTGACTTAATCTATTATTTGAAGGCCATATATATAAAATGTATGAAAAATAATAGACATCCAAGTAACAATCAAAGATCCAGCACAAACAATGTTTATATTACAAACTTATTTATTTAATTTTATTAATAAAAAACGGTTTAAGGGGGAAAATAAACTATATGTTTAAAATTAAATTCAGGGGTGTTGCTATAAGAAGATTTAATCTCCTCTCTACAATAATTTGAAAAAAATTATTAGCAATTCACTAAACTCGAATAGGATTACTATGGAAGAGGGTGAATAAAGAAACAAATAAATAAATTGTACTTTTATGAGCTTTATTTTATACTTATGTGAAATTTTGTTCCATCTACTGAAAGTCTTGGGAAATTTTGTATTTTGTCTTGCACATTAAAATTGATATAACAACATCCCTGATGATATGTAAGATTATTCAATCATACAAATTAATTAATTAAAATATTTTTAGAATACCTTTACTGCGCCAACATGATCAAACCTCTCCCAGGAAAGGTATCCATATTCATGTTCCTTGTAAATCCTTGCGGCTGTGGCAGTATTTGGTCCCATCCCATCACCGACGAAGAGGATGACATTTTTAGCAATTCTCTTGTTGGGTTTTACATTCAAGCTTTCTCTCAGGTCTTCTGCAGAAACCTTCATCCAATAATGCTGATCTGAAATATTGTATTTCAATTTTTAAAAAATAGAAACCGCAAATAAGCAATATATATTTGTATTTAATATAAAACTTTTCCTAATGTATTTCGTTATTCTTACACTCTTTACACATTCCTACTCATAATTCTGTTTCTACAGTATCATTGAGAAACCAATCATTTCTTTACCTATTTCATTTTAAATGTAACATATCGATGTAAAAAACTGGTGCGATGGGCGCATCACACAACCTTCACTTACCAACTTTAGAGTAGATAGGTATTTTCATATAAAGGGAAGTCAACGTGAAATTAACTTAATTTAAAACAATTAATTAATGTTTTCCGGACCCATAGAATCTTTTAAATTTATACATTTGCATCACTTTCCATTTCCTTTTATGAATGTGTATAGTATTAAATTTGAGGGAAAAATTTATCTTTTGGAAAAATTCTGAGTTTTATCGGAAACTCTATGATAGTTTTTAATCATTGATTTTTTAAAATTATAGAATTAGATGAATTTCAAGTTTCAATATGTATATTTTAATATATAAATTAATATGTTAATACTTATAGTTTTAAATTATTTTTATTTCTACTTAGAGATTTTGAGAATACTTTTTTCTCCAGTTCATTCAAACTTATACTGAGTTCACCCGATACTGGGCCATATGTTATGCATCTTTGAAAGGTAGAATTAGAAATAAAAACACTACAAATTACATGTGTTTGTTTTCTTAAATTTGACCAATAGACAAGGTTTCGATGAAGAAATAATTTTAATTTTGACTTTCTACCTTAATGTTGTTTTACTTTAATTTACCCCATGTATGAAATAAATAGTACAGGAAAGTATCAGGATCGTGAAAAATTTCGAATCCCAGTTTTTAAATTAAATATATTGTTCAAGGTCCCCCAGGTGTACAAATCAAAAAAATTTTCGTTAAAAAAATGCATTTGAAAAGACTAAAAACTAAAACGAAAAGTCATATGGAACTGAAATTACATATTTAAAATCTATTACCTAGAAGTGGCTCTTTTATTATTGATTTTACATATTTTTACAATTTTCTCGAAAATGGCTCTAAAAATTTTCTAAAAATAGGGTTCACTAAAACTCTTAAATACGAGTGTGTTTTAAAATAAAAAAATATAAATTTTTTTTTATGAGAGGGTATCTTTTTTTATGCCGTTTACAAAAATATTCACAACTCCTCTGGTTTTTTCTCTCAAATACAACCGTTGGAAAGCTAAATTATTTCTCTTCAAAACTATATCATCACTTTTAGATTTCACGCCTTTATAAGGAATAAATCAATAAAAACTTCCCAAACGTTTATATTTTTATTTCCAAGGCTAATTTATTTGCGGGATTCTGGTTTGTGCAATTTTGTGTATATTATAAGCCACCAAATTCATGCTAATTTTCGTGTGAATAAGCGGATCCATCTCGAAATTATCACGACTTCCGTCATTTTTGAAAAAAAAAAAAATAAAGGCTTCATTCTTATTTCCGATTCGAAGCTCGATAAAATACTATATGTGCATATAATATTACTTTTGATACCCTTACAAATTAACTTTGATTTATACCCAAAAATTAGCATGAATTTGGAGGACTATCTCCCAAATTCATGCTAATTTTCGCGTAAATAAGTGGAGCCATAATTTTTGAAAAAAAAAATTAAGGTCCCACTCTTGACAATAATTTTGAACAAAAAATCTTTATTTTTCGATTGATATGAAATTTATTCATATTTAAGGGTTTTTCGAAGTATGAAATACAAATTTCAATTTTATTTCTACTTAAAAATATATTTGAATCCACTTTATTCCTTAGATCAGTCCTATTTGTTTCAATATTGAACATATATGTAAATTTTGTTATTGTGAATTTCGATCTTATTCGTTAATAATAAAAACAGAGCACTAAAATCATAGAAACCATTTTTAGTTATAATAATAGTACAATTTTATGATTTTATAAAGAGAAAATGTATTCAAATTCTTCATGATTTAAGATAATGAAATGTCACTTACTCACGTTTTGTAATAAACCGACGATATGACGTCGTAGAATCTTAACGGAGTGTGACGAAAAACTAATGACTTTTAATTGTTGTAGTTAATAATACCTCTTTTTAATACTAATTGTTATTGTTTATTATTCAATGAGAAATAAATGACTCAATGAAGACTAAATGGAATTTACATGTGGAAATAAACGTTAAACTCATTTCAACTTTACAAACCAATAATATGTAATCCAGAGAGGTTTTAATTTATTATAAAATCAATTTAAACTAAATCTAAAGTTGTAGGTTTATTTTTACTAAGTTGTAAATAATGTTTCCTGATATTAATACAGAATGTCCTGTAAGTAGAGGGAAATAATCATTTAAAGGAATGATAGCAGGTATCGAGAGTTACCTATATTAAAGTTTATATTAACAACTAGCTTTACCCGGCCACGCGCTGCTGTGGCTTAGCCTGGCAAAATGAAAAAGAATGAAAATAGAAAGCACATATGAGTAGATTAGTAGCAAATGACATCTATCATTTTTAAAAAGTTGGGAAACACATTTGTCTGTAAAATGGCTTCAATTGAAACTAATTCTAAATGTTTTTTTTTTCTCATGATTCAAATTGAACATTCATAATCATCTGAGTAAATACGCCGTCATTCATAATCATCAGAAACAGTCTGAGTTGAACTTATAAAACTAAATTAAAAAATTAATTAAAAAACGTATAATAGTTATGACCTACATAAGGAGAATCATATAAATTCTTCAAATGATAATTTCAATTACTGTAGTAATTATAAAATTTTCGATTAATCAAAAAAAAAAAAAAATACTTGCCGACGTTCGGTAGTGAGGAAGCAAAAGAAAACGGCATTTTCTGAAGAGAAAGCAGTAAATGTTTAAAACTCAATAACTCTGCAACGAACAGTCCGATTTCGATGATTTTTTTTTTTTTATTTTGTCGGCAAATCAGGAATCTTTCAAATAAATGTGGGTATTATCAAATTGTCAAAAATGGTGTACTTTTTTAGTTATCGTCAAATAAAATATTGAATTCATCGTAACATTTTTCAGCTTGTTTTCGGGAAAGTATGTTATACACATAAATTAAAAGGGTTTCAAGGGGAAGACTTTAGCCAAGTTTCGTTAAAATCGGTAATGCCGTTTTGGCGCTACAGTTTATAGCGACACATTTTTTGCGGCTTTGAACAGAAAAACATTTATATTTTTATTTTTTTTTACATATATAAAATTATCGTAAGACAGAAGTACTATGCCAGAAACCTTCCCAGGAGTGTACGGAACAACTTCCCATAGTTTCGTGGCGATCGGTTGAATGGTTTAGTAATGCAGTAAGGACAAACAGACGGACAAACAGACATACATTCATTTTTATATATATAGAAGACTAGCTGACCCGGCCACGCGTTGCTGTGGCTGAATGTGGTTAAATAAAAAAGAAGTAGAAAAGGCATTACATGTTTTGTTTTTTTAATGCTTTATTTTATTTTATTTTTATGAAAATTCCATCATGTCATAATTATAAATTACATGTTTGTGGTTGCTGTAACCTTAAACATGACATACTAGTGGTTTGAATGCTATTTAAAAAATTTAAATCCATTTTTTTTACAGTAGGAAAAACCTAAAATAAAAAAATTTAAATCCATTTTTTTTACAGTAGGAAAAACCTCATAAAAATCTACATAAGATATAAATGAAAAACTTGATCACATCATTATAAGTAAAAGAAAAACAAAATATTTTTCTACTTATACGAAATTTTTAGAATACTTTTTTCTTCAGTTCATTCAAACCTATAGTGAGTTCGCATAATACTGGGCCACATGGTATGCATCTTTGAAACGTAGAATTAGAATTAAAAACACATAAGAAAACTATTTATATATAATCGTATACATACTCACGCAACACACACATATAATTAGATATTTCTAATGTACTTTATGTAACAATACTTATGAATATGCGATACTCTTTGTTGTTCTTTGTATAGATATAGAGATTGTCTGGTTTTCCAACTCTAGAATTCGCAACATATAATTGTCTATATAAGAATAAGCAATCGGTCTCTAAATCTCCCACGAAAAATTACTAAATGTTTAAAGCATTATATCTCTGCACCAAATCATCCGATTTTAGTGATTTTTTTTTTATTTGCAGGAAATCAAAAAATCCTTCAAATAACGTTGGGACTTTTTTACATACTCTTTTCGGGGAAGGATGTTATATACATAAATTAAAAGGGCTTCAAGGAGAAGACTTTAGCCAAGTTTAATTAAAATCGTTACAGCCGTTTAGGCGCTACAGTCTATAGCAACATAGGTTTTTGGGCCGCCATACAGAAGCGAAAGACCGAAGGATGATTAAATGTTTATAAAAACACTCCTGAATGCGATAGAAACAATTTTTATTTTTTTAAAACTTATTTATTGAAAAATATTACAATCTGTCTCAAAGGATATTTATAATAGTGTTCAGAGATCACATTCACACTCTATGTAAAATAAATAAAATAAATTAGACAGAAAAATAATATGATAGAAACATTATGTCAATATTTCAAAACGATTGGTAAAGAAGTTTTGGAGATTAGCGGTTTTGAACAAACGAATGTTTACGTTTTTATTAATATAGATGGTTCGATTTTTGGCAGAAAAGTAGAAAATTTTAGTTTTTTTTCAAGTGTCACATTTTTTTATGAAATGGAAGCGATAACTAAAACAAACCTCTGCCAACTAAGGTCAGTATAGCTTCCTCACAGTTTTTATAAACTAAAAAATACCTATATTACAAGATCTAACATTTTTCGTATGAGAATAAAATCTCTAGGAGAAGCCGTTTTCGGAAATTCAGCAATCCCTCAACTTATATGGATTTGATAGTTTTGTTCATTGAATATTAAAATATGAAAGAGTCCTGCATTTACAGATTGCATATTTGATGATTCAAAAAAAAAATTTTGAAGTGCATACTCAAAATTAATATCACAACTGTTAATGCAAAAGAGCGTAAGTAAAAATTGAATGTATTACAGGAGTGCATTAGAACTAATTATTCCTTTATGATTGAATAGTATAATTTCATATTTTATTGCTCTCTGCTATTTTACATCGTAGCAGACTGCTTATACCCATTGCAGATTACAAAATGTCACCTTTACCACAAATAAAATAAAAGTTAAAAATATTTACATATTACCTTTTGCATTAACAGTAGTTATTAAAGATATATACTTAATAAGAAAAATTCAACTTTTTGTTTGTACGGAATTAACTCTAATATAAAAATATGTGTGAAGTTCACACAAATTTTATATTTAAGGATGAAATCGAGACCACATAGTAGAACTTTCATAGGGACAAACACGATCACAAATAAGAATTTTTTTTTTTTAACACGAACTCAGAGTAAAAATTAATTTAAATTTACTGAAAATTACACGAAATGTAAGTAACGACAGTAAGTTTCATGCCAGTAACATTTGAAATCGACCAAACAATACATTATAAATTAACTTTTTGAATAAAATCTAAAATTATAACCCCACGAAAGTATTGTATTAACCTAAATCCCACTCCATATGATCCAGGGCCTTCAACATTTCATAGCCATTACATTGTTAACAATCATTCATATTAATTTTAATTATTAAATGGAATTCAAAGATATTGATACCAGGTAATTTCTATACTATTCTCCAAATTTCTTACAAGTTTTGGTCAAATCGAACTCGTAGTTTTCAAACTATTGGCGTGTCAATTAATAAATTTTCTGATCTGAAAGTGGAAGTATTTTTATTTTTGGAGTAGGATTATCTGTTTACCAATCCCTAACTCCTCTCAAAATTTGAACCAAATCGAACCGGCGGTTTTAGAGATATAAAGGTATCAAGGAACACACGTTTCCGCATATCTGAGAGAAAGTAGTGGACAGAATTCAATAAAAATGACTCTACATTATTTTTTCACCAATACCTACTTTTTATCCAACATTGAGGCAAATCGAACGAGCTGTTTCTGAAATATTGGTATATCTAAAAAAAAAATAAGTTTGAGCGTACGTATCGTTTGTACTGGATGTAATTTGATAAAATTTATATGGGACCATCTAAGCACCAACCCGCACAATCTCTGAAAATTTCATGAAGATTGGATTAGCTGATATACCGCCACACAGATTTCACTACAGACAGACCCCGGACCAAATTTGATCCTTGATGTCTGAAACGTAAAACGCGAGTGGAAATTTTCGATTCTGAGCATAGAATTGTTTTGGCCTCTCGCACGAATTCAAAGTTTCTCTACCTTCGGTAGTGAGGAAGCAAATGTTGGATATACCTATACCTATATTATATATACCTAATATGTTGGATATATATATATATATATATATATATATATATATATATATATATATATATATATATATATATATATATATATTGATTTCTGATTAGTTATTGGTTGAAAAAAAAAGTTTTTCTGTAAACTTAATATGGGACTATCTAGGCAACAACCCGCACAATCTTTGAAAATTTCATGAAAATCGGATGAACGATACTAGGTGATATGCCCGTCACTTCGATTGGACTACAGATAGACAGACACCGAACCAAATTTGATCCTTGATGTCAGAAACGTAAAACGCGAGGGGAAATTTTCGATTCTGACCACATAATTTTTTTTTAACCTCTCGCACGAATAGAATGCTTCCCTACCTTCGGTAGTTTGCAAGCAAAATTAACAATTGCTTTACAGTAAACTAGACAAAATTTACTTCAAACGAAAGTATAATTTGTGATTGTTGAAACTATTTAAAGAGGACTTATCATGATTATTCAAGCATTATTAATCATCCCCCAACTATACTAAAGATATCTCGTTTCGGAAAACTATTTGTTTAATAATCTTTAAATACATCTTTAATTCACCTTAAGTTGTAAAAAAAAAAACTGAAATGATTTTATATCCTGTCTCTCGTATTAAGTACTCGTGTTTTAAGCAAAAATGGTTGAAATAAATTATTACAAATATTTAATTTTTTTTTTCCCATGAACTGAGAATTATTATAATAAACATAATTGCAGAAATATCAGAGCTTAAAACGAAAAGAAATATGTAAGCACGATTTTTAATTTCTGAGATATTTTAATCCACAAGCAAAAACACTTCAATTAGTTGACTCGAGCCGACTTTACCCGAAACTTTTACTTCAAATGAAAGTATAATTTGTAATTGTTGAAACTATTTATAGAGGACTTATCATGATTATTCAATCATTATTAATCATCTCTCAACTATACTAAAGATATCTCACGAAAAACTTTTTGTTTAATAAGCTTTAATTCCATACTAATTAAGTAATTTTGTATTACGAAATAAGTTGAGATTCACCTCAAATTGTAAAAAAAAAAAAAAAAACTGATATGATTTGATATCCTGTCTCTCGTATTAAGTACTCGTGTATTAAGCAAAAATGGTTGAAACAAATTATTACAAATCTTTAATTTTTTTTTTTTTTTCTGCATGAACTGAGAATTATTATTATAAACATAATTGTAGAAATATCAGAGTTTAAAACGAAAAGAAATATATAAGTACGATTTTTAATTTCTGCGATATTTTAATCCACAAGCAAAAACACTTCTATTAGTCGACTCGAGCCGACTTTACCTGAATGAGCGTTACACATCCGAGTCTGACGGTTTAGTCTTATTCACTCCCCACAAAATGCAAAATGCTGACAAGGTTTTCACTTAAAAAATACCCATTGGGAGAAACAGAAGATTAAATATTAACCAACTGACCCGTGAGAATACTTCGCACAAACCTTATATTTGTATCAGATTTCAATACATTAAGGGCTCAGCATAAGTTCCTTTTAGTAATGTTTCTAAGCAAAGGTTTAATATTTTTATTTAGTAAGTTATCAGTTTATAAATATTATGATCTATAACCATCCATAGTTTAACCCTTGCAGGTTTCATTAAACTTATAATTATAATATTATATTTTTCCTAAGTTTACAAAAGCTTCTAAACATTTCCTTAAAATATCTGATAAAGCCTAAATACTTTGGATTTAGTTCTCTGAACGGAACGGTTTGACCTAGCAGGATGTATGCACAGAAAAAAAGAAAAAGAAAAGAGATGTTTCTATTGTCATTAAAAATAATCAAGTAAATTTTCAAAATGATAAGCATCGAATACCATATATATATATATATATATATATATATATATATATATATATATATAATATCTTATTTACATTTTATATAGAATAGAATAGAATAGAAAAATAATTTTACTCTGGGACAAAGTCCCTTCAGAATAACAAAAAAGTACAGAAATTAAAATTTTATATCTGGCCAGATAAAAACAAACATAAAAAGTTAAGATAAAGATAAATTAGTAAAAAAAAAAAAAATATTAGTTATACATAATATATACAAAATAAAAAAAAAAATCTATATAAAAAACTCTTGAAACCATACTAAGATACTTAGAACTATGTACAATGTTAAAATATAAAAAAATAAAAAATAAATTAAATCCTTCTTGACAGTAAAATCTGTGTTTCTGTTGAAAAAAAGAAAAAGAAAAAAGAAAGTCGAATCTATAATAACTATTTAGGTTATGAGCTATATGTGAATATGTTATTATAAATAATATGTAATTTTACATTAAAGGTTAGCTGGTATCTGACTGTTTTTGTGACAGGAATTGGAATAGGAGGGTTTTGAATGTAGATAAGGATGAAGAATGTTGAATTTTGATAGGAAGGCAATTTCAGAAAGTAACAGAACGAGCAATAAAGGAGTTTTGGAGGCAGATCTGTGAGAAGGAATGTAAAGGTCGGAAGGTCGAGATCTTGTGGAGAGGGAGTGGACTGAGGACTTGAATTGGAGAAGGTTGTAGGCGTAGGAAGGACGATGATTGTTGATGATATGACAGAGGAATGTACCTACATGTATGTATATACATACATATATATACATATTTTATATACATATTTTTTGTTTGTTATGAAAATCCGTATTTGATGGTTTTCTGAGATACGAAATAAAAATCTCAACTTGATTTCTCCTTCAAAAAATATTTGAACCCACATTGCTCGTTGGGTCGTTACGAATTGTTACATTTCAACATTTTATTCGTACTATAAAAAAATGCTAAATTTGATGAAATAGAGCTCTCATGAGTAATATAAGTAATATAAACATGAGAAAGAAAATATTTTATCATCGATTTCGATGATTTTTTTTTTTACGTTTTATACGAAATTTACTAAGCTTTCAAATACTCATGTGCATAATGAGTCAAAAATTGCGCCCTTTTCGAGTTATTCCCAAATTATGAATTAATTTGTAACGTCTGGATTCGTTGAGAGGCCACCATCATACGGTTTGAAACCCCCTTTTCAACTTTTACATTCACTTTTATTCAAGCGAAGTTACAAAATTAGGAACCAAAATTACGATTCGCTCACTCTTCCCTTTCCATGGATTCCTCATTCGTCAAAATCCATCACTCCTCAGAGCTGGATAAGGGATGTATATATTTGAGAAATAATATATAACATTAGGAGAGTAAACAGCTGTTATTATCTCAATATATTATCAAACATGCTAGCATCATTTGTTATTTTATATTTAAAACTGTAATTAATATATTGTGTGAAATATAAGCTGAATCATATTCTTTTGTTGTTCATAACGCGGCTATCGATTTCGTAAATAAACAGTTAAGATTAGTAATATGCAGTTAATTTTTTATTAGATTAGTAACCTTAATTCAATTTAATTTATTTATAACTAATATGAAACTTAATAATAATTTTCCACTTATTAAACTATCAATTGAAACAATAAATTATGTAATTTATAAATTACTCACCCAAGACCTGTAACGCCAGAAGACCAGGACTTGCGAGAAGAAGAAATAGAAGAGCGAACATCTTCGGACACTCTTCTTTCATATGGATATCGACTGTCCATTTCGATTTGATGTGTCTTATATAGCAATCGAACATGTCAAGTGCTCAGATATCATTTAAGAGATATCGAATCGATAACCCACTCCAGCCAAATTTACTTAAAATGTTGATTTAAAACAGATTCATGACACTTGAAAAGATTTCGACACTTGAATTTTTTTTTAATTGCACAATTGGAGAATAATAGTATAGTATTTATATTTGATTAATTAATTTTTTAAAATGAAATTATAGTTATGTGATGATGACAGGTATCGAGACTGAATGAATTTCTACAAGAGCCATATAGACACATAAATATTTTTTTCAATACTTTTTACGTGATGTGTGATAATATGAGAAATGAAATGTTGATGTAGATGAATAAATTTGACTGGATATCGTTTATAATTACTTTGTCTGTAACCATGTATTGGCTTTAAAGTGATCACGTGATTCAACGTGCAATCGTGAAGAATTTAGAATTTATTAGAATTTACAAGTTATTTCAAAATTACGGTCACATTCGAGAGAAATAGGCTGTTTTTTCTTTACATTTATTAAAGGAAGTTAATAATCTGAGCATACATAATCATGCGTATAACCATTGACACGTCATTTAAAAAAAAAAAAAAAATCGGTCCAGTAGTTTCGGAGAAAATGCGCGGACGGCGGACGGCGTACGGCGGACGGAAATTTTTTTTTTTTTTCGTTTTTCGAATTCCACGTATCCTGAAACGTGAAACCTCAAATTTTGTGAGGGGTTAAGCTTTTGAATTTTTTGGTCGATCACAATGGTTCATTATTGAAAATAATAAACCAAAAAACTACGACTACAACCCATGAATGGCCTTGGGTTCAGTATTATGTACGGAGTACTATTTCTTGCTCAACAGTTGCGGATGGAGGTGATTTGGCCTATATCATGCTCAACAGCCAGGTTTCCTCCCTTAATTAATTAATTAAGAGTACCCACTTTACACAGGCCAGACGGGTTTCCCAAAGAAACAGAATAAATAATTTGTCTGCTATCAGACGGATTCAATTCAGCTGCTGAGCTACTACTCCATCCCCCCCCCTCGTTTAAAAAAAAAACATGGTATTTGTTTCATGTAAGTGTTAAATTAAGTGTTCCTTAATACTAAGTAAATATTATATCTATTTAAATTGGTCGAGAGGGATTAAATTTCCGAATTTTGATAATTTCTTCAAATAAACTACCTTTAATTTATTTCATTTACAAAAAAAACAGTAAGATGTGTGCTTTAGACCACACGATAAAAGTAAAAACAACAAAAATGTGAGATTAATAATATGAAATATAAATTATAAATAATAGCTCATTATAATGAGAATAAAATGCTGAACATTTGCCTTGGTTACAGTATGCAGGTCCGATTTTTAGTTTCTGAGATATTTTAAATCATGTACTATATATACCCTTCAATTAGTCGACTCCTGCCAACATTACTCGAGCGTTCCACATCGGAAATCTGACGGCTCAATCTATTTAACTCTCCACAAAAAAGTGTAAAACAAGCCTAAAGAAGTTTTCACTTAAAAACATGAACATTTTCGCATTGTAACTAGTGATAAAAATCAAATTAGGTATAATTTGATAAATAAAGTGTTATTAGATGGGAATGGAGGATGTACGGGTTAGATTCCATAGATGAAAACTGGATGAACGGTTAAGAACTGTCAGTTTTCCCGATTATCCTTCATTTATTTATTGTTCAGTAGTAAATAAATGTTTCAATGTTTAATACAGAGTTGTCATATTTTATTACAAAATTAATTTATATTGAATGTAGAGATGTACTCTTATATAGCATACATCTGTATGGAATGAACTAACAAATAAATGTCACTTTCATGTCATAAGGATCATAAATGTCATAAGGGTAACTTTGAAAGGAAAAAAAAAATAGTGTGGTAAGTGAAAGTTGTTTGATGTTTCACACAAGATTTTTTGTGAATATGAAATCTGTGTTTGTGCACTTTGCGATTATTTTTTTTGGTGCCAGGTGTGTTTAATAATGTTATCGTTATCTAGTAATTTGTTTATCATTGCTTGCAAACATCTCAAAAATAAGAAACATGTTTTTTTATGATATTGTATAACATTATTCGATGAATACATTTCCCACTTGTACGTTCTGAAGATTGGAATTGAATGGGATACTATTGAAGTCGGAGTTATGAGCTTGATAGTTATACAGACTTATTTTTATCAAATTATTAACATCCGTATAAAAATTCGTAAATAGCTTCATGTTAACTTACATCTTTTTTAATAATTTTCGAAAATTAGGCGTTTTCAAACTGTAAATTGATAAACTTTATCATTTTAATGAGGTATTAAAAACACACGAACACCTCCTTGTTTTCCACTTGAATCGTAAGATAATTTGAACACGGATTCGAGAATAAAGGTGGCCTACAAAAATATTTGGCCCTTTGGCGTGGTCTACTTCCAATATAACGAGGTATGCTCGTATACTTAATTCTGCTATAAATACTGTTATAAAAGTTGAACTTTGTTTACATCTTTGGGTATTATTTAGATAATCCTTTCTGTTATCAGGTTATTTTCTTTAAATGTCAGGATTATAATCCAAATTAGTTTGTATTTTTCTTTCACTCAGTTAACATGGAGTGGAGTGATAAAGAAAACCGAATAGCCTTACACAAAGTTGGAAAATGTAGGTCAGAGATTTTCAACACTTTGAAACCTTTGTATCAGCCGTATGTTCGTGTACCGCACTATAAATAGATATAATGAGACTCTATCTGTATGTGACAGACCTCGACCGAGCCACCACTGTGAAAACGGCTAAGATAGTGAGAGCAATGGCTGCTTGAATCAGAAGAATTCCCATTAGAAAACAACAAATCATGTCTCTGAAAATGGGAATCTCTGTCAGATCAATGTCTCGCATAATAAAAAGTGGCCTTAGGGTGAGTGTATTTCGAAGAATAACAAGACAAAGGATAACCACTTCCCTAAAAAAAAAATAGAGTGGATAGATGCAATTTCTCTTGGCCGTTACACCAATGGTCTTCATCGAAAGATTTTGTTTAGCGATGAGAACATTTTTACTATTAAAGATAAATTTAATCACCAAACTGATCGTGTGTAGGCACAAACCTCTAAAGAAGCCCAGGAAGTCATTGGAAGAGTGGAAAGAGGTCATCATCCTTCCTCAGTGATGGTTTGGTAGGGAGTTTGCTTTGATGGAGTTTGGAATTATTTTTTCTGCTGAAATCAGTATATATTTCCTTGTAACAATATTTGTGACAGGACTAGGTAGGCCAAATGACCTGATATTTTCATAGGGCACCTACGGGAAATGTTCGTCTTGTCATCCTCTCTATAATGAAATAATATTCATAATTGTATCTGAACGCGTCGCCGTGTTAGGGAGGCGAGAAGGAAAAAATATAATGACGAAAACCATATGATAACGAGTTTTATTGAAGATATGGATTACAATATCTCAGAAACTAAAAATCAGAGCTGCATACTGAAAATAAGGGAAATGTTCACCATTTTAAGCTCTCTGTAATGGGCTATTATTCAAAATTTTAACTTAATGCGTCGCTGTGTTAGAGAGGTGAGAAAGTAAAATAATGTCGAAAACCATATAATAACGAGTTTTATTGAAGATATTTTATTAAAATATCTCAGAAACTTTTTTTTTCTTTTTTTTTTTTTAATCTTATTTATTGAAAAATATTACAATCTGTCTCAAAGACATTTATAATAGTGTTCACAGATCACATTCACACTCTATGTACAGTAAATAAAATAAGTTATACAGAAAAATAACATATATACAATAAACAAGAATAAAATAACCTAAAAATAAATTAATAAAAAGAACACATTCATACCTATATACAATATTTACAATCTGGTGAGGGAACTCCAAACCAGATTTGTCCCTCCAAGTGTGGAGGGAAAAGCATGGCTCCAGGAGATCCCAGCACTTCTCTCTCAACCGCGTCCCTGGGGCTAAACCCAGTGGAGATTGAGCAAGAGTGCTTAAGCCAAATACATTCATGTCGTGAGTGGAGAATCTAGCCATTGCCAGAACCCCAATAATCTCAGAAACTAAAAATCAGAGCTGCATAGTGTAAGCAAGGGAAATGTTCATCATTTCATGTTCTCTGTTATGAGAAAATATTCAAAATTTTATCTTAACGAGTAGCCGTGTTAGAGAGGCGAGAAATAAAAAATAATGTCGAAAACCATATGATAACAAGTTTTATTGAAGAAATAGATTAAAATATCTCAGAAATTAAAAATCAGACTTGCATACTGTAAGGGAGAAAAATTTTCATCATTTCATCCCCTTAGTAAAAGACGAAAATTTTATTTCATCCCCTTTATCGCCTCTCCTAAGCCTCTACTGGTTCTTAATACCAGTAATGCGGCTTAGTGCGAGGCGCTGGGATCTCCTAGAGTCCTGCCTTTCCTTCCACGAGTGGAGAAAAAGGCTTGGCTCGGAGTTCTTCTGAGTGAATGGATTCTGTAAATATTGTATAGTATGCATGTGTTTTAGTTGTTATTTTGATTAGTTTAGTTCTTTTGTTTATATACATTTAATTTTATTATTATTAGTTTCTGCATTATTTATTGTAAATAGAGTGTGAATGTACTCTCTGAACACATACATGTCCTTAATTGTGACTGATTGTAATATTTCTGAATAAATAAATAAAATCATCCCCTTTATAATGAACTATTATTTGTAATTTATATATCATATTATTAATCTGACTTGATAATATTTGTTAATATTTTCACTTCTATCGTGTGGTCTAAAACACACACCTTAGCTTTTAAGATGTCCTAAAGATAATTAAAAAAAAAAAAAAACCTTTTAGATATATTTCAGAGATTGACGCTGGATAAGATTAAGTTCATTTTGGCCATTTGTTGAAAAAGTAAAGAGTATTGAGGATTTGACGAAGGATTTTGGATTGTAAGGAAACGAAAGGAACCTGATGGATTAATGGAGCTTCAAAAACAACTCCATTAGACCGTATTAGTACCAAGTAAATGAGTCGTTTATAGTTAATTGGAAGCTCAGAGCGTTTGTTTGCGTTGGAAAAGCCGTAAACATCTAGCAGTTTCTTGTAATTTTAGTCTTGTATGATGATTCCATATTGTAACATTCCTAGGTAGTGGATAAGTTCAACAGGAATAACTGAAGTATTATTAGAGAATAACAAAGAATTTCAAGAGTTTCGATACCATTATTCAAGATGAAGAAAAACAAAATAAAAGAAGAAAAAACAATTACAAAACATTTATTAGAAACAATCAAATAAATAAAACAACAATAAATTTATTTTCTAAATAAGTTTCTTCAAATACATTTTTATCATTGTAGGAATCATAACAGAGATTACCATCAGTAATCATTAAAATTATCACAGTCTTTGGTTTATTTTCTTTAGTACTTGAACAGTACCGAATATTGTAATTTACAATATTGTAAATATTTATTAAAAAATTACATTAATATTAAGATATATTAAACTTATTCATATTGAAGACGGAGATAGCAATCGCTAAAGAGATGATAACAGAGGCCGTGGAAGGCTGGAGAAATGATGATGATGAAGGTTCTTTGTCGAGATTTTGGAACTCGCCGAGCCTCGCTGCGTATTTTATTACAGCTGCTATGTAGTTCTGTTCGTGCATCCGGTGGAACAGGTGAGCGAAGGGTCCTGGAAATAAAAAATAAAAAATATAAATATATATATTTATGTTGAGCGTGATCTCGGTCAAATCACCTCCTTGCACAACCGTTGTCCTAGAAACAGCGCTTTCCCTAAATAGTACTGAACCCCAGACTCTTATGGGTTGTAGTGGTACAGGTTTTATATTTATGTAGGGTTCAAATTAGAGTCAGGATCATAGGTGCAGACTTAAACTGAAACGAGGGGGCGAGAAAATCATTTAGATCATCTGTTCCCTCCCCCCTCAATTATTCGATGTAAAAAAAACGAAAATTAAAATCAATCAGGCATTATCTACATCTAGAAAAAAAATCTCTAACTTTTCTCTGAAGCAAATCGAACGAGCCGTTTTTTAAATATAGTGTCTGGGAAGATAAATTTATGCATGCTTATGTGACTGCATTGCACGGTATTTAAAAAAAAACACAACCTGGTGTGGTGCGCGCATCACACAACTTTCACTTACCACTCTCTTCTTAGCAGAAAACGAATTTCATACATAGAGGAAGTGAAAGTAAAAATTACAGACGCTATAATTATTTATATTTCATTGTGGGTATTTTTATTTGTTTAAGTACCTCATATATAAAAATTTTATGAGAACCACATATGTGTATTTATATAATATTGTCAGAGTCCGTATTACATTAAGCTCATGTTACGTATGGAAGCGTGTTCTGATCTTTCAGGCGAACTCTTATTTCTCCTTTATTTTATATTTAATTATCTTTTATATTTGAAATTAATGTGAAATGGTCAATTTTTCAAATAAAAAAAATTAAAGGTACTTTTGGGGAAGCTAATATTGAAAATTAACGATTTAAGCCCTGTTACAGAACATCAATCAGAATAAAAACTACATTCCGTTTAAAATTGCTTAATTTTCCACTGATATGGTGAATTTAATCATAATCGTTTGAGCCGTTTTTGAGACAATCGTAAAAATGTGTTTAGTTCATTATATAAAATGCCATTTTCGGTTAGCCGATTTTGACGAGAACGTTGCTGTAACATCTCTAGCATATACAAACCTTAAATACTTATTATCAGTTTCGTACGACTTTTCGTTTTTGAGCTTGACTGTTAACACACACACAGTCCCTTTGGACTCAGGGGATCTCAAAATGTGTATTTCCAATGAAAACTGACATTTGAAAATTTTCATGATCACAATACTTTCCTTTACTATATATTTCATAGGTAATTGAAAGTAAAAATGTCAATGGACCAAAGGGACACAAAATTGTGATTATTTTATCATTTAAATTTCGTCCTTTAATTACTTAAAAATTAAGCAAAAAAAAAAAAAAATTATGAAGATAAATGATTACCTTTAGCGTATACGAATACGTCGTTTCCACCATGTTTATTCTCATCTTGAAGAACGGCCGCTTGTGCTCCGTAATCGAAGGATTTGGTATCCACTTTGGAAGGATCTTCACGTACTACAGATCCATTGACTACTGCGTAGTGATAATTGCTTGGACCGGCGTTAGCATAGCCTAGTGTAGTGTAGGGCACCCCGTCCACTTTGGAAACATCTGCTAATCCTGCGAATAAATAGTTATATATTATTATTAATTAACGAAACGAAAATTTAGAAAATTTGATTAAATTTGCAATCTGCAAATTTCTTTGCAATGAGCAAATTTTTTGCCAGCTTCTCAGCTTCCCATCACATCCGGAATATTTAAATCAGAACAGCAGGTCTCTTGGCCAACGCCTACGTAATCGTCGTAGTGGGCTGTACGGGTTTCTTGTACGATGAAGGATTTCTGTTAGGGAATTCATGTTGTACGTCAGTATTTGGTGAAAGTTATTGTAGTTCTCTTTTGCAGTATCTAAAATTGTAGGTATTAATAATTAAAATTGTAGGTTTAAGTCTTTATGTAGTGTATCATTCGCGACATAAAACGGTGCGTCAACTATCCTTCGCAACACTTTAGACTGAAAGGACTGAACTTTTTTAATGTTGGAAGTTTTAGCAGAGCCCCATTGTCTTACATAATATCGTTATTTTGACAATTTGGGGGTGTAGGTCACGCCAAACGGCTCAATATTTTTGAAGACCGGCTTTTTTTTTTTCGACTTTGTGATCAAAGTATCTTACGATCCAATTGGAAAGGAAGTGGGTATTTACATGTTTTTAGTTTCTAATTAAATAGACAAAGTTTGCCTGTCTCCAGATTGTAAAGGCCACAATTCTGAGAATTTTTGTAAATAAAATATTTGTAGGTTACAGTGAGATAAAGCTGTTTACGAAGTTTCAGGAGGATGTTAATAATTTGTTAAAAAGGAGTCTGTACTATAAATTCAAAGCGATGATATTAGCTTTTTTGAAAGGCGGTAATATAACTTAATATTTGCAAAAACAATATGTGAATGTCAGCGCAGCTTCTATTAGATCTAAACAGGATTTTTGATATTCGGCTAATTTCGGTATTTATTTGGGATCTGAGAATAGGGTGCTCTGTATGATTTCGAATCAGTTGCCATCTGCGAGCAGCAAAATAGAATTAGAAATATATATTAATATTTATTTTCAGAGAAACTTACCCAGAATACTGTTTCCTCTACTCGGATAGCCGCTGATGGTGAGTGTGTGGGCATGGTCGCTGGTCACTATCACCAAAGTTTCTCCTTCGATTCCATTTTCTTGTAGCAGCGTCATCGTCGCGTTTATCGCGTCGTTGAAAGCTAATACTTCAACCAATGAGATGCGTGCTTTGCCGTTGTGGTGCGCTTTGTCGATCAAACCTCCTTCGACCTGTCGAAAATATGTTAAAATTTAAACCTCTAATAATTTTAATTAAATCAAATAAATCACCCGAGGATGATCCTCCTTCATCAACATTACTATCGACCTTTTACTTTCAAAATGGCGGCCGAAAAACCTGCGTTGTACCTATAGACTGTAGCGCCTAAACGAATGTACCGATTTCATTGAAACTTGCCTAAAATCTTCTTCTAGATACCCTTTAAATTTATCTATATAACTTACATCAACGAAAAAAAGCTGGAACAAAAGTTACGAGGGATGATAAAATTAGATTCTGAATAACTCAAAAATTACACACCTTTTTTGTTAATATTGTATGTGGTTATTTAAAAGATTACGAAATTTAAAAAAAAAAATCGTTGGACAATTTGGAGCAAAAATATGGTCTCTGGATATATTTTTTTATGTTCTACTGCGAAGGTTGTTTGCTGTGTTTAGGTATTTATTTTTTAAAGTATTTCTGAAATAATGTTAATTTTTAGCAGATTACTAATGATAAAAATAAATGTTTAGGCCAATAACAGGAATCATCTTTTATTTCTTTTTCTTTGTCACTACGAAGGTAATGTTACTTTAGTCGTATAATTGTTTGGAGATAATAAACCATTGGGAAATAATTTGCAGCTTTTTTTTTTTATGTAAAAAAAAGATTGGCATATAGAAACCTAAAAATCCGGACAAAGCAAAGTCAAAAATAAATAACATAGATTTCGTTTGAAATTATATATAAAATTTTTTTAGGCTCCTAGACCCCATGAAAAAGAACGCCGGAGAACGTGTCTGAAAAAAAAAGATCGTTAAAATCGGATAATTAGGAGCAAAGACATGGTCTCTAGATGTTTTTTTATGTTCTACTGCAAATCCTGTGTTATGGATTTTTGAATTTGCTACTGAAGTAATGCTATTTTATTTTAGAAAATTATTAATGATTACATTAAAATGTTTCGGCAAATAAATGGAATTAACTTTTTATTTCTTTTAGTTTGTCACTAGAAAGGTAATGTTACTGTAGATGTATAATTGTTGGGAAATAATAAACTATTGTGAAATAATTTACAGCATTTTTTGTAATGCTCAGGAGTCGAGATAGAATTGATGCTAGAATGACTCTGACCGATTCTTCCTCTATAATCCTATCCAGCTACAATATAAAGAGCACATATAGTTCGTTTGAGTCTCGCTTGCTTCGATTTAATCTAACCTCGTGAGCCGAGAACCTTAGCACCTTGCACAACCATCATACAGCCTAACGTTGCACCATCTGACCATATTATTTTCCAAAAAATGACGCATTTTTCAGACACTTCAAATACAATTACGAAATCAAAAACGCTGCAAATTATTACACGATGGTTTATTATTTCCAAACAGTTATATATCAAAAGTAACTCTAATTTTCTTGACACATAAAGGAAAATAAATAAATGGTGATTCCTAATATTGTCCTTTTTTTCTTTCATTATTAGTGATTTGCTGAGATATATAGACAACATCGGTTGCTTTAGGTGATGTAACACTTTTAAAATATATATATATATATATATATATATATATATATATATATATATATATATATATATATATATATATATCAGCTTTGCAGCAGAATATGTGGAAAATATTTTTACATCGAACATATCTTTACACCAAATCGTCCCATTTCATAATTTTTTTTTTTGTTGTTGGGAGATTTCGCAAACTTTTAAATAACCACAAATACAACATCAACAAAAAAGTGTATACTTTTTTAAAGGAAGGAGATGGTCCGGGGTGGCGGTCATAAATAGGCTAAATAGTGGTAAAACTATTTTATTGAAAGCCGACGTTTCGACACGACTTTGCAGGTCTTCTTCTTTGAGGTGTGTTCAGCTAGGAGTTTCACTTAGAACTGGAGTTTCAGTTCTAAGTGAAACTCCTAGCTGAACACACCTCACTAAAGAAGACCTGCAAAGTCGTGTCGAAACGTTGGCTTTTAATAAAATAGTTTTGCCACTATTTAGCCTATTTATGACCGCCACCCCGGACCATCTCCTTCCTTTATAATGCAACGGTCAACTATTAAATATTCAATGTATACTTTTTTAGTTATTTAGAAATGTAATTTTACCATTCCTCGTAACTTTTTTCCAATATTAGTTTCGATGAAGCGTGTTATATAGATAAATTTAAAGTCCTTTTAAAAGAAGTTTTTGACAAAGTTTCATTGAAATCCGTTCGTTTAGGCTCTATAGTCTATAGCGACACAGGTTTTTTGGCCCCCATTTTGAAAGGACAGGGCTGATGGTAATGTCAAGTTCCGTGGATTATTCTCGGGTGCTCTTAGACATTGATAACAAATCTCAATGTTTTTTTTATCTCAATGGGATTTTTTAAATTCTGTTTTTGGATTCTACGTATATTGATGCGTAAAACCTCAAACTTTGAGGGGAAGGGGAGAAACTTTTTTTTGGGTCGATTAAAATGTTCGATTATTGAAAATAATAACCAAAAAAAAATGTTTTGAGTTTTTTTATCTCAAAAACCAAGACAAATTCCATATTATTACACTTAAACAATTATATATTTACCCCCCATTTTTGTGAACCATTATAACTATTAAAATAATATTAAGACTAACTTATAAATCATAGTTGGTTTCAGCTTCGGATAGAAAGATGAGTTAAAATAATTGACAATGATGTTTTATATTCAGAAGAACAGTTTTAATTTTTATAATTCATGCTGAAATACAAATGAAACTCATTTTATGCTCTTTTGTAACGACATAGTATAATTTCAATTATCTATAGTTAATTACTATGTAATAAGTATAAATGGCTTCAACATTAATTAAATTTTAACTCACCATAAGAAGGAATCCATTGTCATTTTTCTTAAGTATCTTGAGTGCCGTAGTCGTCATTTCTGCTAAAGATGGCATGCCTGCTTCTGAATTATCTCTTTTGTATTCGTACAACATATGATCGTTAGCGAAGATACCTTTAAACAAATATCTTAAATTTAGTCTGAACCAATACATTCTTGCATATAATAAACAGATAAATTGATATTTAGATTATAAATATTTTAAATTATATGAGAAGGAGTTGATCTGGGGGTGCGGTCAAATAAATACTAAATTAAACAAATAGTATTATTTAATTTTTGCCGACGTTTCGACCCACTTTTCAGGTCTTCATCAGGGCATAGAATGTAGCACTGCGGGAGGCAGTTGAAACACTGGCCAATTGGCCATTTTAAATTATAATTTTAATATTATAACATATTTAACAAAGATAATCTTTATTTTCTTTGATATAAAGTAATCCGCGATACAGCACCCTTTTTGTCAAACTTTAAAAATGCGTCTGAAACTTCGAGAATGGCTTCAGTTTATCGTAACTTACAAATTTTTGATCTATAAATATTCACAAAAAAAATCTGGTGTGCCCGCTCACACGACTTTCCTACCTATTTCAGAAAAGTTTTTACACACATCTTTACACATGTCTATCAAGAAACAAAAAAATTGAATTAGATTTATTTTCCTGAAAATTGTTCAAAAAATTTGATAACCTAAAGCAATGTAAACCGGCTTAAGGTAGATCATTGTAAATATTTCAATACTCTCTAATATTGCTGATCAAAAACTTTTTGCCATAGCTTAATTTTGTCAAACAACAATTTCTGTTAAAAGTAGAGGAAATAGTGAAGCTTGCGTGATGCAGGCAACAGATTTTCTTACTTTCACTTAGTCATCTTTTTTCACTTATTCACCCCTTTCTGACACCAGGATATGTACCCGTAATTTTACATTGGAAATTGAATAGCTGTAACTTCTTTAATAGTTGAAGATCCGAAATTGAAGATTTTTATATAGTTTTGTAGGGAATTTCATCTGGGCTCTGAAATGTATAGATCCGTCGAAAACCGCATATCGGAAATTTGACCCGATCGTAATACTTTCCTTAGCTAGTATAGGTAGGAAAGTAAAAAGAGGTCATTTTCGATCTACGGTTCGGTAAACGTGTCAAATTAATGGGATCCTAAAAACGCATGAATATTCATTTGTTATCCACTTGAATTGTAACATAATTAGATCGAGGGAAAAGGTTGTCTAGAAAAATATATTTGAGATTAGACCCTAACTCCATTCTACTTGTCAAAATAACGAGGTTATGAATATTTCTATTCATTAAGCAGATTTTCATGCTGTTGGTTAATAAATTTGATTACTATCAAATGGTCATACTGGCCTATAAATTTCATGGGCCTTTTCTTCAGACCTACTCCTTAAACATCCCAATTTACAAGATGTATTTTTCTGATGATTATTTGAAGCATAGATGATAAGTGAGCTATTTTAGGATTGTATAATACAGTCGCTTAAAACAATATTATGTGAATTTACTTTAAAAAAAGAAGGACAGAAATCATTTCAAATCAAACCTTTTTAACCCAGTCAAATCAGACATATTTCCTTACAAAAGATGGGATAATTCAAATTTCTTTTTTATATTAGGTATGTAGTGACTATAAAAACTCCAAGTTTTTGCCCTTGAAAGTTTTGTGGGTTCGCTGGAGTGCTCTGAAAACCATTAAAATTTCGAACTTTTTTTGGTTTTCTCTAAATATCTCCTTTTTAAATCGACATAAATAAAATGGTTATATTCAATTTAATTAACTTAAAATTAACGTATTTAAAATAAAAGTATTTTGTAATTTTTTTTTTTATAAACCCAACAGGAAGCGAACTATCGAGCTTACAAAATGGATAAAGCTTAAAAAAAAAATTGATTGAAATTTATAAATTCAATTACTGTATAAATATTTATTTGTTAATACAATTAAATATTAATACAATCATTATAGTACTATAACTATGCCATTTATGAGTATTAAATGATGTGGCAGAGACTCTAACAGTCGGATATGCCAGTGCCGCTTTTAAGTGTATTTTCTAAGTAACTGCTTCAAATATTTTAAAAAGTAATCAGTGTTTTAGAAAGCAAAATATATTCCCCAGATGTTTTATTTCGGAGCTTTTTTCGTTATAGTTGGCAGTTTATTTATAAAAGAGGCTTGGTTTTCAACTTTAGTTTGAACGAATTGAAAAACTTGATTTCACTGGTGTTTTTTTATTGCCAATCCCAAGTATTTTTTCATATTTTATTATTATTAATTTGTTTACATCTAACAGAGCTACGCTGACATTCACATATTGTTTTTGCTAAGATTAAGTTATATTACCGCCTTTCAAAAAAGCTAATATCATCGCTTTAAATTTATAGTACAGACTCCTTTTAGATAAATTATTAACATCCGCCTGAAACTTGGTAAATAGCTTCATCTCATCATAACCTACAAATATTTTATTTACAAACATTCTGCGAATTTCCAAGAATCTCAGAATTTACAAAAGACGCTTGGTTTTCAACTTTAGTTTAAACGACTTGAAAAACTTCTTCTATATTCGTTTTTTAGGAAATTTTTAAATACCTTTCAAACATTTTATCACAATTTCGAAAAAAAAAGTGTATATTTTTTGAGTTATTCGGAATCTAATTTTACCACCCCTCGTAACTTTTTTTCTAGCTTCTTTTCGTTGAAGTAGGTTATATAAATAAATTTAAACGGCATCAAGAAGAAGATTTTAGCCGGGTTTCATTGAAATCAGTACATTCGTTTAGGCGCTACAGTCTATAGCAACGCAGGTTTTTCGGCCGCCATCTTGAAAGGAAAAGGCGGATAGTAATGTCGATGAAGGAGGATCAACCTCCAAATTTGAAAAAAATCGTTCCAGTAATTTCGGAGAAAATGCGCGTACGGTGGACGGACGAAATATTTTTTGTTGTTTTTCGAATTCTACGTATCCTGAAACGTAAAACCTAAATTTTGAGAAGGGTTTAAGTTTTTGAATTTTTTGTTCGATTACAATCAATTGTTCACTGTCAATTAGAAAGTTCATATATTGGGAATTTAAACAATACGTGCGAAGTGTTTCTTTTGTTGCATATTTTGCGCACCCTTAATAGATTATAAAATTGTTTACCTCCTCCTCTCCACTCTCCAAATTACTTTTCTCTCAAGAATACTGAATATATTTACCCAAAAGATAATCGGTGTTCTCTATATCGACATCTCTTAGAGTTCCGGTGTTGTTGGCCACAGCGTACTTCAATTCTTTGGCTGCTTTATCCTCAGCCCATTCTTTGATTAAGTCGCGACCATCCGTTCGTACGCAGGACTTCTTCATTACGATCGGGTCCTCAGGAAAAGGAGTGGAGTTTGTCTTCAAAATCTGTCTGCCTCCTCCCATAATCACCTCAAAAAGAATAATATATATATATATATATATATATATATATATATATATAGGAAGCAAGGTTAGAAACAAGAGGGTTGGGATGGTTATGAAATTTATTATGGAAGGATAGATATCTGGATCGGGCCAAATCTGATACATAAGAAACATTAAGGTCTTTATGGATGATTTTATTTGTAACGAAGTAAGGAGCATTGAGGATTTTACGAAGGATTTTGGATTGTAAGGATTGGATACGAGAGGAATTTGAAGGTTTGGTGGAGCCCCATAGCTCAACTCCTTAAGTCCAAACAGGCCTTATTATAGTCATGTAAATGAGCCTTTTGTAATTAATTGGAAGTTTAGAGCGTTTGTCTAGTAAGTATTGGAGTAGTCGGAAACGTCGAGCTGTTTCTTGTCGTTTCAGTCTGGTATGGGGATTCCAAGTAAGACGCTATACGTCCAGGTGTAATAGTCGCTATAGTCCTAAGGAATAAAATATTAGTAAGTTATTTGTATTTTTTTTTCACTTGAAATATATTTGTATGAGCGATTATAAATAGAATAGCATAGCCGTATGTGCTTTTTTCGAAAACCCTAGTCTTGTAAAATGATCTACATAATCTGTAGTAATCTCTCTTAATCGTCAAAAACAAAGTAATTAACTACAGTTCTACCAAGCTCAATTCCGTAATTCCAACGGGGTCTTATTGTAGTCGTATAAATGACTCATAATTTATTTAAAAATGAGAGTATTTTTCTTGGAATTATCTGAACAGCCCGAAACGTCGAATAGTATCTTGTTGTTTCAGTCTTCTATGCGGATTCCAAGTAAGACGGTTTGCCTCATTGGAATCCTAGGTAGCGGATTGGTTCAACACGGACAAGCGGGATATTATTGAAGGATACTGTAGGAAAAGACATCTTAGGTTTACGACGGAGGGAAAGGGTAATTTGATGGGATTTATTTTAATTTTATTATCCAGTTTTAACACCATTCTTCTAGGTTTGTGATATGTGATTGGAGTGTTTCGGGTGCAATTAAAGGGTCATTATTAACAGATAGCAAACATGTGTCATCGTTGTACGTGCTATTAGAGAAAATTGTCTATAACAAAAAATAACTCCTGTCACTTTGGTAAAACCAAATTTTTGTTTTAAAGTCTTTATTTTGTATTTGGAGAGAATTTTATTACTGGAACTCAATACCATGACTAAGACATTAGGATGTAAATCTCTATTTTGTATTAGGAGAATATGAGGTTACAGTAGCATTACAAAATGTAAGTAATGAACAGCTTTATAATTAATGCTAATTATAGAGTTAATGAGAGAGCTTTTGCAATCTCCTACTCTCCTAATACTAAAATAAAATAAAACATGAAAGTCACTAAAAACAAATGTCTTAAATTTAGTCTGAACCAACACATTCTTGCATAAAATACAAAAATAAATTGATTTTTAAATTATAATTTTAATATAATATTTTAGAAAATATTTAACCAAGATAATCTTTATTTTCTAAGACTTAAAGTATTCCACGATACAGCCCTCTGTTTATCAAACTTTAAACATGTGTCTGAAACTTCGAGAATGGCTTCACTTTATCGTAACTTCCAACTATTTGATCTACGAATATTATTATTACAGTAGCATTACAAAACATAAGTAATAAACAGCTATATAATTAATGTTAATCATAGAGCTAATTAGTATTAATTATATAGCTAATGGGAGAGCTCCTGTAATCTAATACTCTCCTAATACTAAAATAAAATGAAATATGAAAGGCACTAAAAACGTTTCAATTTTTTTTACACTGCTCTACATTGGAAATATATCTCATTTGAAAACAGCCTCTTTCCGTGTTTGTTGGTGTGAGAAATTCAAATTTCCACATTAAAATCATCAATTAGATCTAATTTTAAAGATATAGTTTATTTTAGCGTAATATGGGGGACATTTCCTGGTTTTGGGTTGGTAGGATCGATTTCTGTCTGTGAATCGCGAAAAATGACAAGCTGTGAATCACAGAACCATTTTGCTGACAGTTATATGCAGTGATTACATTTGAAGTTACTCACTACGTGGTTTTTCTTGCTTCAGGCATTGTTTCAACGATTTTTTCATGATAACCCCGGAGTTTTGTTGAAGTCAGAACGCCCAGAAAGTGTGTGAATGCTCCTGACAACTTTTGTTACATTTGTGGTGAAATAACTTTTGCAAGTCAAAAACGTCCTATCACCCAGATGATCAAGACAGCATACCACAAGTAATTTGGAGTTAAGTTTGGTGGCCAAGATAATCCGTGGGCCCCACACATCTGCAGCGTAACTTGAAGAGAATGGTTGAACACGAAAGGTAGTTCAATCCGTTTTGCTGTTCCCATGGTATGGAAGGAACTTTTACCTGAGTCTTCCTCTTCATTATGGGATGTCTCGAAAAAAGAAATCTGAAGTAAAGTACCCTGGCATTCCTTCTACTCTGCGGCTAATAGCACACGGAGACGAATTGTCTGTTCCAAAGCCTTCTTAACACAATGACTTGAATCAGGAATAGTATAGCGAAGAGGAAAATCCTCTAGGAGGAACCCCATCAGATGATTCTGATTTTTCTTTCGAACAAGAAGAACAAAAACCCCACTTGGCTACTCGAGCTGAACTCAGTGTCTTGATTCGGGAGACCTGGACCTGCCCAAAGAGAAAGCAGAACTTTTGGATTTAAGATTAAAGCAATGGAACTTCTCACAACATGATGTAAAGATTACAATGTACAAAAATTGTTAGAAAGATTTGATCCCATTTTTCAAAAAGTATCAGGTATTTTTCAAAAAAATACATGCGGTTTTCGACGGATCTATACGTTTCACAGCCCCTTGAGTCCGAAAAACACATTTTTAGCCATTGGTATTTCTGTCTGTCTGTGCCAAGATTTTCTCGGGAACTACTGAACCGATTTTGTTGTTTCTTTTTTTATTTTGTAGAGTTTTGACTACTGATGGATTACGATTTACAGAAATCGTTAGAAAGATTTGATCCCATTTTTCAAAAAGTATCAGGTATTTTAAAAAAAAAAACCTTGTTGACTGTTGAAGAAACGTTCTAAATAAACTGTACAACAGCGCTGTTCTTGCCTAGAGAAGTTTTAATTTAATGGTTTGTGGGTTGTAAAAGTATTTCACAAATAATAAAGCACTTTCAAAGTCTAAAAAATTATCGTGTAACTTTTTTTTTAATATAATAATTTTTGTATTCGATGCTGAGTATACACGTATCTGCAGAAAGGGTACTATTATAAGTTTTCTGAGAGAAAATTCGAGTTTCTCACATCAAAATTATTCAAGAAGGAAGTTAGTAGACTGTTCTACATATCATGGGTGATAAATATTCAGGACGCAGCCTTTTTTTAATTAAAAATAAAGACAAGATAAAAATTTTAAAAAAGACTGCGTCCTGAATATTTATCACCAACAATTATTCAAGAGTTTTCATCGAAGATACCCACAAACAATTTTTTTGTGTAGGCCAGTATAATAGATTTCATTGCTTACATTGTAATTCCTGCCAGGAAGATCCTCGATAAGCTGCCTGCCGATATCTTTGCACTTCGCCGCAGACGCAGGAATCGAATTGTCGCACTCCCAATCCCTGTGTGCTGAGTGGGCGTACATCGCAGCTGGTGTCGCGTGGGTGATTCGAGTTGTGGTCACGATACCTTCAAATACAATATAAGAATAGTTAATAATAATATATGGTAGCGGTGTATTTTCTATCTATTTTTCAAGTGAATGCATTATACATATGCAATAACAGTCCGTGGTACAAACCTCTTTGTATCATATTATTAACATCCGTCTAAAACTTCGTGATTGACTTCATCCATTGGAGGTTCTACGAGGAGGCTTTCGGGTTAAAGCCCCCCTTCACCCCAAAATGGTAAAATATAACCATATTTTCAGAAAAAAATATTAAAAACTATTTAATAAAGTATTCTTATTCGTGTGATTACATTTAATAGGACTTCAAGAACCACTTAAACACCATTTCATATAGGTAATTAATTTCTTTCTTGTTTTTTTTTTTCCAAATTAATTATCGTTATATAATATATATATATATATATATATATATAATATATATATATATATATATATATATATATATATATGAAAAAAGAAACTTTCGGGCTGAAGCTCTCCCTCCCCAAATTAAATCCTGGATCCGCTAGTGACCTCATCTTATCGTAACTTACATTTTTTATTCACGAAAATTCTCGAAATTTGTACGTTTTTAATCTGGAGATCGCCAAACTTTGTATATTTGATGAACTTTGACCAACGACCATGCTCATAAAATCACCATCAACGGCTATCCAAGTAGAGGAAACAGTATTCTTGTTAAGTTTTTCTCAAGGTAAATATTAATAATTAGTTATAATTTTCTTATGCTGATCAAAGATTGCAACATTTTCAAAATCACACAGAGCACGCCATTCTCAAATCCCGAATGAATGCCAAAATTATCCGAATATCGAAAATCAGGTTTAAATCCAACAGAGCTGCGCTGACTTAGCACTGCGGGAGGCAGTTGAAACACTGGACAATTGGCCATTTTAAATTATAATTTTAATATTATATTTTAGAACATATTTAACCAAGATAATCTTTATTGTCTTTGACATAAAGTAATCCGCGATAAAGCCCCCTTTTTATCAAATTATTAACATCCGTCTGAAACTTCGTGAATAGCTTCATCTCATCGTAACCTACAAATATTTTATTTACGAAAATTCTCAGAATTGGGGCGTTTCCAATCTAGAGACTGGCAAACATTGCCTATTTAATTAGGTACTAAAAACTCGTAAATACCCATTGCCTTTCCACTTGGATCGCCTAAGATAATTTGAGCGCAAAGTCGATAAAAAAGGTGGCTTTCAAAAATATTGAGCCGTTTGCCGTGACTTACATCTCCAAATTGTCAAAATAACAAGGTTATATATTACAAAAGGTCCAATATTTTTGTAGCCACCTTTTTTTTTCAATTTTGTGATCATATTATCTTACGATCCAAGTAGAAAGCAAATGGGTATTTACGAGTTGTTATTACCTAATTAAATAGACAAAGTTTGCCTACCTCCAGATTGAAAACGTCCCAATTCCAAGAGTTTTCGTAAATAAAATATTTGTAGGTTATGATGAGATGGAGATATTTACGAAGTTTCAGGCAGATGTTAATAATTTGATAAAAAGGGGTCTGTATCACGTACTATTTACTTGCGATAGGAATTAAATCACAGACTATAATTCCTAAAACGTCACAAAGTGCAGTTCTGATATAGGTTAGCATAAGCATTTTTTTGTGAACTTCGACTTTAATTATCGAAACAACACCGTAAATGAAATAAACTCTTTTATAAATAAATATATTCACAAACTCATAATTTTCTGATTTGTTAAAGGTAAAATTTATCACAGTTCTTAATTATTTAAGGTTTTAAAATGTCATTTAATAATATTTTGCAATAAGTCGACATGTAGAATAATAAAATAAATAATAAGGAAAATATATTTTGTTAAAAAATATTTTGATAGAGCACGTGTGTGACAAACTCAACTAAAAATTCGTAAATGTTCTACTTTTCACTTTTATCAAAAAGTCGAGAAAAAAAGGTAACCTCAAAAATATTGGGCCGTTTGGCGTCCCTACACTCCCAACATTTCAAAATAACGAGGTTATATACGCCAAACGGTCCAATAATTTTATTGGCCACGTTTTTTCTCGATTTGGTGTTCAAATTACAGTTGTAAATTTCAATAAATGAAATATAAAAAAAGGTTTATAAGACAATTCTCAAAATTAATAATAATGTTATTACCAGTTGATTTGCCTGCTTCTTGTGCCAGTTGGCCAATGGTCTTCAACCTAGCTTCCTCGCGCAGACTTGCTTCGCAATCGTTTTCGTTGACGGTCGCGTCCACCCCAAGCATACCGTGGTTGTTCTTGACGCCGGTGAATATGGCGGTGGCAGTGCTAGCGGAATCGGGCACCTGCTTATTGTTGTTGTAAGTCTAAAACAGAACAATCTTCCATTAGTGTTATATTTAATGCTATATCTGTAACTATATAATGAAAATAATCTTAAAAGTTTTCTTCAATTTAATTGAATGAATGAATGAATGAAAAAATAATTTTATTCTGGGACTACAGCCTCCTAAAAATAATAACAGAGTTAATAATAAATAATAAAAAGCTTAGCGAACCCGAAGGTTCGATGCCGACACCACCAATCGCTCATTACACACCTCCCTCCACCGTTCGCCGTCCAAACCTATTCGCATTAGATCGGCTTTAATGCAATCTTCCCACCTTCGCTTCGGTCTACCCCTCGGACGTTTACCATTCGGTACAGCAAATATTAACCTTTCAGGAATTCTCTCGTTACTAAGCCCAATAATTTTACAAGCCCATTTGATTCGTCGGGATGAAATGACCTCAATTATATTACCCGGATACAGTTCACGCAATTCGGCGTTATGTAACCATCTGAACTCTCGGGTTAATTCATCCCTCTTCGGTCCGAATATTCTACGCAATACTTTATTTTCAAAAACCTTAAGACGTTTCTTATCCCTTAATATAAGCGGTCACGTTTCGCATCCATAAAGAACTGTATGTAAGACAATGGTTTTATAGATTCTAATTTTTAAGTTGCGGGACAAGAGACGCAAGCTAAGTAGTTTAGTAACAGAAAAATAACAAGCATTTCTCGCCTTCAGTCTAACCTCAATCTCTCTCTTCTTCAATTTTGTTTTTTCTAGTTATCGTAAACCCTAAATACTTAAACTTCTCTACCTGTTCAAACATATTTCAAATACATACATCTATATCAATATCACCAGCAATATCGCCATTTTTGAAGCTAACCATATATTTTGTCTTATCCGTGTTTATTTCGATCTCTAGATTTTTACCGGCTTCTATTTACGTTTTATCTCCTACTACCTCCCTAATGGCATGTTCTAATGCTTAATTGAACAGGACGGGCGAAAGAGAATCAATTGCCATTGGTCTGTCTGTATAGACCAAGATTACATCGAGAAATAGAGAAAGAATTTGTTGCTTCTTTTTCTATTTTGAAGGGTTTTGACTACTGATGCTTGTGACACAAATTGGGTGATCCATTCTCAATAGCGGCTGCGCAATAAGTGAAAAACATATTTTTCTCAAGACTGTAGCGCTAAAACGGCTCTAACGGTTTTGATGAAACTTATCTATAATTTTCTAATTGATGTCCTTTCAATTTCTGTGCATATACAAAATTCTCGAGAAAATACAGGAAAAAAGTTATAAAGAAAAGAAAAATCCTTTGGGGCCTAACTCACTAAGTATGTATTCTACGGTAAAATGTATATGAAAACTTTTGAAAGGTAATTAAATTACCAACAAAACAAAAAATTATTTTGGATCTAAGCGGTGAATGAGAGACAAAAAAGAAAAGTAAGCGAAAGTAAGAAAATCTGTTGCCCACATCACACAAGTTTTATCTCGACTTTTAACAAAAATTATTGTTTGGCTATATTGGTCTAAGGTAAACAAGTTTTACCTTAAACAAACCAACCTGTTTATATTGCTTTAGTTTATCTAAGAAATCGTAGTTAAATCTTTTTTTATTTCTTAACGAACATATTTAAAGATATAAAAACTTTTCTGAAATAGGTAGGAAAGTCGTGTGAGTGGACACACCAGATTTTTTTTTCTTTTGTGATCATATTATCTTATGATTGAAGTGAAAAGTAAATAATAATCATGAATGTTTCGTACCTAATTAAATAGACAAAGTTCGCCGATCTCTTGATTGAAAACGCCTCAATTCCAAGAGTTTTCGTAAATAAAATAGTTGTGGTTACGATGAGATGAAACTATTCACGAAGTTTAAGGCGGATGTTAATAATTTGATAAAAAGGGGTCTGTACCACAGAATATTTCTTTGTAACCTCCAGCTGGAATCCAAGAGGTCGTTCCTAAACTGGATCGATTGATGGATTCCATCGATGGAATTAGCGCTGAGTTAATGAACTTGCCCTGTATCTAATTTTTTTTTTTTTTTTTCTACTGAAGGCTAAGATAAGGAACAACAACATTGGCACTGAATAGATCCATTTAAGATCAATTTCTTTCAATGAATGAACATAACATGTGTTAAGAAATATCTAGTAAATCTCTGTCAACTAGAAAAGATGGATTTAATCCACGAGTATTTTTTCAGTTTTAATATTTAGTTACGAAAACCTAATATTTAATTACGAAAACCTAATATTTAATTAGACATTAAACTGTTAAATAAATGTCGTAAACAGTCCTTGAGAATGTTAATTATGACGATATATTGATTAATTAATACTTATATGGAAATTTTATGTTAGCGGTCCAACAACTAATACACTAATACTGCAAGAGTGTAATAGTAAACACACACAGAGACAATTTAACACTTGTGCTAATAGTTCGTATCCTGTTATTTAAATTACAGGCGTATCCCGACGCGTTCTTCTATTTTTCAGTGATGTTTTTCCATTAAGCTTTTTTAAAAATGTCGAATTTTTACCCAAACATTTCGTACTAACTTCAATACGTAGAACGCTAGTGGCTTTAAAGTAATTAAGATAGTTGGTCTCCCCTACTGGAAAGAAATAATTTTTTATTTATTTTAAAGCTGATCCTCCAAAATGGTCAACTAGTTTTTTTAAAAATGAGATATGTTTTTACAATCTTTTCAATCTAAAATTTTAAGACTATACACTAATTGTACCTCCCTTGATCCTTGTAATTGCACCTCCCTGGTATGTCAACAACAAAACTTTACATAGAATAGAATAGATTAGAATAGAAAAATAACTTTATTCTGGGACACAGTCCCTTGAGAATAACAAAATAGAACAAAATTAAAATATTACATCTGGCCAAAATAAAATCAATCGAAAAAAAGAAAAAATGTAAGAAAAAAATATAAGGTAAAAATTCTATATACAAAACAAACGGAACTATATACAAAACAATTAACACTGTGACAAGACACTTAAAGCTATTTGCACTGATAGACCAGTATACACTTTTAAGAAAATAATAGAGAATTAAAAAATAAAAATGTACCAAATTCTCTATTAAAATCAGCTCGAATGGTTAGCAACTATCTGGCTGTTTTTGGGATAGGAATTGGAATAGGAGGGTTTTGAATGTGGATATGGATGGGGAAGTCGAATTTTGTGAGGGAGGGAATTCCAGAAATTGACAGAGCGAACAATAAAGGAATTTTGGAATGAGGCAGATCTGTGAGAAGGCATGTAAAGGTTTAGAAGGTCGAGATCTTGTGGACAGGGAATGGACTGAGGATTTGAACTGGAGAAGGTTGTTGGCGTAAGAAGGACGATGGCTGTTGATGATTTGGTAGAGCAACGTACCTAGGAAATATTGTCTTCGAATGGAGGGGAAAAGCCACTTTAACTCAGCGTAATGGTGAGAAACATGGGAGTATTTTGGGGCCCCGATCACAAATCGTACGCAGCTGTTCATTAGTCTTTTCAGTCTATCACGGAGCTCCACAGAGAGGCCATCATACACCACACAACTATAGTCAAAGTGGGAGACAATGAGAGAGGAAACCAGGAGTCTACGCGTATGTTGAGGTAGGAGATGGCGGAAGCGATGGAATAGTTTGAGGCCGACCATTGACCAGCACATACGTACTCTCTACTCCCGATTTCATCTTAAACTACACGGACATCACAATGGACTTATCACTGACATGACCACGGCTGAAATGCTCATCAGGAGGCGACTGAAAAGGAGCTGGATGAGAGATCTCCTTTCCTGATTTTAGGATGTAAACAGACCAGGGAAAAGGTGCTGCTGGGTTGCATTCTTCGTCATGCCTATCATACCATTTTCTACCTAACAACACATCTGCTAATTATCAATACGATGACAGGTGCGGATGAAGAATTGAAGGCAAAAAAAAATTATTAAATTAATAATAATAAAATTATTAATTGAGAAGATAGCTGAGAAAATGACTCACCTTCACAGCTCCGACATGAGGGAACCTCTCCCAGAAAAGGTAGCTGCTCTCACCCGCCCGGTAGATCCTGGCAGCGGTGATCGTATTGGGGCCCATTCCGTCCCCGACGAAGACGATCACGTTCTTGGCGATGTTCATGTTGAGGCTCTGTCGGAGGCTGGCTTGCAGGTCTTCCTTGGCCGACTGCTCCCAGTAACTCCGATCTAGGGGATTAGAAATAAAAATAAGAAAAGGAAGAATATAGCAACAAAAATACAATTTATTAATTTTATTTCTTCGTTTCTAATGTATTTTAAAATTATTAGTATAGATAATTATCATTCTCCTAAATATATTCGACGTATTAGCTACAAAACTGTTTATTTGTATCCACAATATATTATTATATAGAAACTCCATTAAACACAAACTATCGGTGATACTTTACCTCTATTGTTAAAACAAGAATTGGTATTAGTAAGTGATTAGCTGATCCCACAAAAAAATATCTCTTCAGTTTAATAGTTAAGTAACAAGACAAAGCAATATCTCCAAGACTTTTGCCAGGAACATTCCGTAATACCTGGCCAACAAACTGGATTTCGACCTCAGCTATGCACGGAGCATTCTTTAGCAAAAGTGCAATACCAAATTACCCAAAAACTGGAACGTAACGCTGCCACTACGATGATCTCAATTGACTGCTCAAAGGCTTTCGATTCCGTTTCCCACTCCATTCTAATTGAAAAGCTGAAATGTTTGCAATGCCCCGAACAGTTGTACTCTATTTTGAAATCGTTCCTCAATGGCCGAAGTCTGACTGTAAATGTTGGTGATAATTTCTCAAATGCAATACCTTTGACTTGTGGAGTACCTCAAGGTGCAGTGCTTTCACCAAGTCTGTTCAACATTTACACTGCTGACGTAATTGGCAAAAATTATACAAAGGCATCTGTAATGGCATTTGCAGACGACGTTGCTATATACAGTAGCAGCATGAACGCTTCAAAAGCATTGAAACAAGCGGAAGAAACCTGCAATGACATTCAAAATGAACTTAAATTGTTAAATATTCAAGTAAATTCTACAAAAACCGATTGTATAATATTTTCGTTTCAAAAAAATAAGAAAAAATTACCCAAAAAATTTCAAGTTGGTGATTCATACAACAAAATATCAAATAATTTGGTCTATCTAGGAATGAAATTTGACAGACATCTAAAATTTACCGCTCATTGCACTTCAAAACTATCAAAAGTTAGACAAAAATCCTACAAATTCAGTCACCTTCTCACAACCTCAAACCTCAGTCTCAGATTAAAATTAATCATCTACAAAAGCATTCTTCGCCCTTCCCTTCTCTATGGTGCTCCTCTATTGTCCCACATTTCCGAAAATACAAGCAAGAGACTTCAGCGATTCCAAAATGGAATTCTAATCAGAATAGCTAAAAATACGTCATTGGAAAAACAAAAATCAGATAAACTTCATGCCTTCTTAAATTTACCCACCGTATCTGAATTATTAAACAAAAGAATAATAAAATTCTACAATTCTTTAAAATATTTAAATGTAGTACTATAACATTTCCACCATCTACTCGGCGATGGCAAAATATAGATGTAAGGTATATTGTAAGATAGTCCTAAGAAAATTATCAAGATAGAGGTGAGCCCCATCATCCAGATTGAAGTCCAAAAATAAATATAAAGAAAACTAAGAAAGGCTCATTAAGACCTTAAAATGTATCTAAGATACAGTAAAAGGAAAATGTTAACCATATGTAAGAAACAAACCTTTAAGAAACTGGGGATAAGGAAAAATAAAAAATAAGTGAAGAAATAGCAAAATAATATGAAAATAAGTAGATCCTATGTATTATGTGAGGAAGGAATTAATGTTTTTTCCTTGGTCGATTACAATACTCCATTAAACACACTAGACCAAAATATTTATACAAATTGCTTTGCTAGGAAATATTTTTAATCGCTGACTGGAAAGATAATAAAACTAACAAAGACAAAACAATGCCCCGATCATGGGATTTTCTCAATTATTTTTTTTTAATTGAAATTATTTATTTATTTAGAATTATAACAATCTGTCACATGGACAATAGATTATAGTGATATAAGAGCACATTCACACCATATATACAGAAAATATAAAATTAACAAAAATAAAATAATAATAAAAAAACTATGTACAATAAAAAAATAAAATGTAACAACAAAAATGCCTTTAAGAAATAATAAAGTTAATATATCAGCCAGGAAAAAAAGTGTAGTCGACTATTCTACTCCTAAATGCAATGTCTTCTAAGAGGAAGAAATTATTAAGTATACCAATACTAATGGACTGTTTCTTTGTTAATAATTGTCCGATTTTTATGATTTTTTTTTGTTTTGTAGGTAATTTAGTAATATTTCTAATTATGATGCAATCCAGCATAAAAAACATACGTTTTGAGTTATTCGCAAATAAAGGGTCTTTTTCCCAAAAATTTCGGGGGAATAGAACTATTTTTCGCATGTGAAGGAGCAGAATATCTTCAGATAGAGGTCAATCATTAGGTTTGAAGAATAATTGACGAAGTTATGGCGTACCGACAAGAAAAAACCTTTTAGAAATAATATGTAGGATTAATTTATTAGTTCAACCTTTCTGTTCATTACAATTATTTTTAGGGGACTAAATTTTCCATAATAAAAATTTCTTTTCATTCTTCCATTGGATTGGAAAGCAAATGGGCACTTATGTTATTAGTACTTCATTAGATTACTTATATGAAAAAACCCTACAATTTCTGATAATTATCGTAAAAAAAATAGTTATAGGTTAAGAAAAGATGATGAAATTCAGGAAATCTTAATACTTTGATAAAAATTGGTCTGTGGCGCGGAATCGAAAAGTTATTTTTTTCAATCATTAAAAACGTCGTCGAAACGACTAGGTCCCTTAAAAATAACAATGTTGTTCAAACCAATTGGCAATAAATCTGGCCAGATGACCTATTATAATAAAGATTATTTAAAATCTAGGCAGTATAATGAGTATATACATAGTTTTGGAGGGCATATTAAGGAAAGCAGATGGGTACAAGGGTTGCAATGTTATAATACTGGTACGAAAACATACTAACAACTAAACAGAATTGGAAAGAAACGAAAAAAATAAAATAACTGGAGTGAATAAATGACTTATATATGTTCCTTAAGACTTTCAAGCGAAAATACATGTAGATATTGTGAAAATCTAGACAATTATTGTGATTTACCTATGTCTCAATAGATTAGGAGCAGAAAAAAAAATATATACATACATATTTATGTGTGTGTGTATATATGTATATATATATGAAAACAAGTAGAGAGCAGTGTGTAGAAGATAACTAAAAAATGAATACTTTTAAATAAAATAAAATACACTACAAAATGGTTACCTAGGACAAACGGCCTGATATTTGTGAAGGCCACCTTTTTTAACGATTGTGATCAAATTATCTTACAATCAAAGTAGAAAGAAAATGGGTATTTACTAGTTTTTAGTACCTAATTAAATATACAAAGTTTGCTTCCCTCCAGATTGAAAACGCCACAATTCCGAGAATTTTCGTAAATAAAATATTTGTAGGTTACGATGACATGAAGATATTTTCGAGATTTTAGCCGGATGTTAATAAATTGATAAAAAGGGGTCTATACCACGGGCTAATATAGAAATGTTAATAATAAATAAAAAACTAAGGTGTTTGTTTTAGATCACACGATAGAAGTTAAAACTTCAACAACCCATATGCATACCTGGTGCTTTTATCTAGACTCAAAATGTACTTTGTTTTACAAAATTTGGCGTTTGGGTGTTTCATCCATCATGTCAAAATAACAAGGTTTGCTCGCCAAACGGTGTAATTTTGTAAGTCTCCTATATTCTCGATTTTGTTATCAAATTATCTTACGATTCAAGTGGAAAGCATTCGTGAGTTTTTAGTACCTCTTTAAATTAATTAATTTACTGAAAAAACGTTTCATTTCTGAGAATTTTTATAGATAATAAAAAGTTGTAAAAAAAAACACACGAAGACATTTACGAAGTTTTAGACTGATGTTAATAATTTGATCATCACCACTCAACCTTCTGAAGTTGTCTCTTTAATCAAAGAAAAATCATGGTTGGCTTGCCAAAAAACTTGGTCTGCCACAAAGGACAATAAGTTAAGGGTTGTGGAGCCATACGTCCGAAGAGTCACTCCAAATATCCAGCTGACCAGAAGGGAAGAAGTGGTACTGACCCGGCTAAGGATCGGACATACTAGGCTTACTCACGAGTACTTAATGAGGAAAGAATCTCCTACTCAATGTATTTCCTGCGGGTACCTCTCACAGTGAACCATATCCTAACCGAATGTTATGCATTCCAATCTTCTAGGGATCAACATCTTCTCAGAAATAGCCTTGAAGAATCACTCCAAAAGGACCCCAATGCTATTAAAAACTTAATATTGTTCCTTAAGGAAATCAAAATATTTCACAAAATTTAATCACATCTTGTAATTGTAAATATACATGTTAAGTTTTTTAAGTTTGTAGGTTCCTCTTCAAATTGTAAATATACCTGTTAATTTTTCTTCTTTTAATCTTAATTTTTAATTATAATGGTTTTTCAATTTTTCTTCTTGTAATTTTTAATATTTAAATTGTACTTTTAACTTTTCTTCTTTTAATATTAATTTTATTTTTTAAACCGTATTTTTAGATTATATTCCTGAAATCATTAACCTTTTATTTAAATGTCTTTGTTAACTGTTAACTTATCTTTTTTTAATCTTTAATATTTAATTTACTGGTTTTTGTCAATTTTTCTTCTTTTACTTTTTAATATTTAAACGTTACTCTTTACTTGAAGAATCACTCCAAAAAGACCTCAATTCTATTAAAAACTTAATATTGTTCCTTAAGGAAATCAAAATATTTTAAAAAATTGTAATTGTAAATATAGGTACCTGTTAAGTTTTTTAAGTTTGTAGGTTCCTCTTCAAATTGTCAATATACCTGTTAATTTTTTTTCTTTTAATTATAATGGTGTTTCAATTCTTCTTGTAATTTTTAATATTTAAATTGTTCTTTTTAACTTTTCTTCTTTTAATATTAATTTTATTGTTTTAAACCATATTATTAGATTATATTCCTGAAATCATTAATCTTTTATTTAAATGTCTTTGTTAACTG